CGGGTGTTAAAGAAAAGTAACAAAATTTACTTACCGGTAACAGTGAGAATAGGCCTGACAGTAACAATATTTGTGGTGGAACCGGCAAAACGCTGATGCACATGCCTTACAATATCTGGAACCGATCCAAATAGCTTTAAATTATTTTTAATTTTATCAATTGTACATTAAATGGAGGAGATTATGGTGTCCTCTTAAGGTGCGAAACGAGGCCGCGTTTGAACCGTCATTTTCATAAATGCCTGACTTTAGTACAAGATAATGCTGAAATTATTGGGTAATTCTGATTCTTCCGCAAATATCTATAAATTATCTGAGCCGTTCCACATTTTAGTCATGAAATAAAGATTTTATTTTGTTTCTATTTTTTACCACATACACACAAACAAAGATACATGCATATGTACATATATCCGCATTGATGACGCTTTTGCTGTACATTTCGCAAAGGGACAGCAGTCACTTGTGACTTTTGTGTCGAAGTAATTCAAGCAACAAAATGTCACACTTAACATGAAGGTCTCAACTGCTTGTTTCGCATGCTAAGTTGGAGTAATAGATGCTCTTTTACAAGGTGGCAGCAACGCAAACGCACATGTTGTGCGCAAAGCGAAAAGCAGACAGATGGCAGGCAGCCAAGGTAAGGACGAAGTCAGCAGCGGCAGCGTCCCAAACCAGCCATCCACAGCTGTAGGCATAAATTGGCTTGTAAATGATATAACAACAACCGCAAGCCAATCGCTAAGGCGTAACATTATCTACATAAGCCAAAGTGGCACGGCACGCCGCCCGCTATGCAACACAACACAACACATTTGTGTGCCGACACACCAAAAAACTACAGAACTAACGTTGCAATATACTCGTACATATGTATGTAATATTTAAGAATGTACATATGTATGTATTGTGAAAAAAACGATACCACACATCAGTGTGAGACACACGACAATAATAAACAAAAGGCAACAACAACAATATTGTGTTATGATGAGCCACTTTTGCGCTGTTGTTGCATGCCACACACTACAGCTGCACGAGTGGCAATGAAGAGTGCATAAATAAGTGCATAAGTAGTGCAGAAGTATGCCGAGTCTTTGCTGAACACAGCTAGTTCAGCCACTGCATGGGAGGCTGCAGTCGTTCGTCAGGGATGTATTTTTTCCTCTTTGATTTTTTGTTCTACCTCTTATTAGTCTCACATTACCAGTCGCAACCGAGTCTTTGAGCCGACATGTTGACTGCATCGAGTACACACTCTGCTGCACACGGCGGACCATCGCCAACTGGCATTCTCCAGCAAGTGGTGCAGATCTCAGCTTAACCTATAAAAAATCCCACTCACATAAAGGTACATATGTATGTGCATACCGACGGCGTCACGTGTAATATTTTAAATGTTCAGCCGATCGGGTCTGTATAGACGGAAAGTTTAAAGCACAGGCAATATTTTCACTGCCAGGTCACTCGTAGGAATTTTTAAGAGTGAGATTCTACAATAATTATACGAGTGTAGTTAGTAAGTACTATATCGTAACAGAATTAATATGAATATGTCAAGTCCCTTACAGAGTTAGGAATCACTAAGTTAGGTTAAGAGTTGATGATCTGGTTCAAGGTTTACCTCTTACAATTGGAAGATACGCCTATTGGATGGCACATACTTCCTTTTGGGAGTTGGGAAAACCGAAATTAAGTACACCCATCCATCCTGTTTCAATGCAACATACGGACGCCATGACAATCGTCTGGCTACTGGAGTTAATTCTAGACTGATTGATATACATGCATCGCTTTAACGACTTTTGTTTAAACAACGCTAATCTGGACTGGAAGGCTTAGTCCCCCCGGCCCTTCCACCTAATTGCGCCTCACTGCTTTCTTTAGAATGCATTGCCCATCATAAAAAAAATCTAGAAGTCTCAAGGTCAACTAAGTAAATTTTAACTCCGAGTTAAAGCAATAATTGGTTTAATTTTAATTTATTAATCAAAACCCTTTCTTTCTTTTTGACTTGCGTTTTACTGCTGCAGAGGACCTATTCGTTATTTATATGTACTTGTAAGTTCCGGTTGCTATTGCTGGAAACATCGTTGGACATTACAGACATTTCGGCAATGTGAGAAGCCATGCTCAGTGACAAAGGCATTATGCCACTCTGAGTCAAAAAGCAGCAGGCATCCTCTCCGCATGAGACACACGACAATTGTAATGCAAGCACAGAAGGCGGCGAACAACTAAGTGTCCCCCTGTTGAAAAACTGATGCCCTGCGATTAAATTAATTGGTAATGTCAGGCGTGAAATGTTGGCAATGAACACCGTATTACGGCTTTGTGGTAAATTATTTACGTAATTATGGATGTATGGAGCAGCTTAGGTGAAGAGATTTTGGTGATATGGACAAAATGTCGTCAGGGTGACTTTAAGAATTTAAGAATTCGCAGTGGTAATTGTGATAATGCTGTCATTAGTGAAGCTTACTAGCCGAAAATAATATTACTCGCACCGATGTCCTTTACGAACACACATATACATTTTAATTTCTCAAAAATTATGGTTTGCACTAGTGGTCAGTGATTTTCTCGCCATGTGGCGTCAAAAAGTTGTACGGCATGACCTTGACATACTATGTACAATACGCGTATGTATGTTTACCTCGTGAATTTGATTCAATTAAGAGTTCTAAATTACTAAATTTGATAGAATTAAATATTTTATTTATTTTACTTTTCATTTTTATTATTTATTTTTTATACTCTTTGCATTTGAATATTATTATTTGTATTCGGTGCGTACTGCAATTCGAAAGGCCCGGGTTCAAAGTCTGGTACGACCAACATCTAAAAGTTATAGAAAATTATTTTAAAATATAAAATTAACCTAATTGCGGTCACTCTTGGGCTGGGAATGACAGACAACCCGCTGATCCGAACTCCGCTTAAAAAACCATCAGCCGTTCGGAAGCGCCTTAGCATAAGCCATTTGTTGATAAAACATCAAGACGCAAATCGCGCAAATTAATATATATATATACATATACATATTTATTACAGATAAAATAAAGTACTTAAATTTTTGTTGTGCGTTTTGGTTTGCTTTCAAGAAGCTGCTCCGCACGGCTAATGGATTTTAATAAACACCTTAAATTATTAATATTCGGTTTTCTATAATTTTACCGGTATATTTGGGTTTCAAACTCTTGACTTTCTACTTAGTAGCATGCACTGCGAACCATGCGGCGGCTTGTGGATACATATTTTTATTTGCACTCAATATTCTGATCAAATATTTGCTTGAAATTTTAATTTAAAATATTATGTATGTAAATAAAAACAAATTGTAAGTAGAAATGATTGATCGAAATTTCTAAAAATATGCAGATGAGTTAATGCGTCTTTCAAAGAAATCAAAAACGTTTTCCGAATAAATAGCCACAAATTTCCAATATTCAATAATTACCCACAAACGAGTGATATGCAAGGTGTCAGCATATAATAATATTGGGTTGCCCAAAAAGTAATTGCGGATTTTTCATATAGTCGGCGTTAAGAAATTTTTTCAACGGCTTGTGACTCTGTAATTGCATTCTTTCTTCTGTCAGTTATCAGCTGTTACATATAGCTTGCTTCAGAAAAAAAAGTGCGCGAAATTTTGTTTACATTTGTTTGTTTGACGTCAATTTTAATATGGAGCCCACAAAGGAGCATTTTCGTCATATTTTACTTTATTATTTCCGTAAAGGAAAAAACGCGGAGCAGGTTGCTAAAAAGTTACGAGATGTGTATGGTGATGAAGGCTTAAAAGGAAGACAGTGTCAAAATTGGTTTCGCAAATTCCGTTCTGGAGATTTTTCACTTAAAGATGAGCCACGTTCAGGTCGGCCAAATGAAGTTGATGATGACCAAATCAAAGCATTAATCGAATTGGATCGTCATGTAACTGAGCGTGAGATAGGAGAGAAGTTAAATATACCAAAATCAACCGTTCATTATCACATAAAAAGTCTTGGACTGGTGAAAAAGCTTGATATTTGGGTACCACATGTATTGAAAGAAATTCATTTAACACACCGAATCAACGCTTGTGATATGCACCTTAAACGCAATGAATTCGATCCGTTTTTAAAACGAATCATAACTGGAGATGAAAAATGGATTGTTTACAACAACGTTAGTCGAAAACGATCATGGTCCAAGCATGGTGAACCAGCTCAAACCACTTCAAAGGCTGATATCCACCAAAAGAAGGTTATGCTGTCTGTTTGGTGGGATTGGAAGGGTGTCGTATATTTTGAGCTGCTTCCAAGGAACCAAACGATTAATTCGGATGTTTACTGTCAACAATTGGACAAATTGAATACAGCCATCAAGGAGAAGCGACCAGAATTGGTCAATCGTAAAGGTGTCATATTCCACCAGGACAACGCTAGACCGCACACATCTTTGGTCACTCGCCAAAAACTGAGTGAGCTTGGCTGGGAACTTTTGATGCATCCACCATATAGCCCTGACCTTGCACCATCAGACTACCATTTATTTCGATCTTTGCAGAACTCCTTAAATGGTAAAACTTTCGGCAATGATGAGGCTATAAAATCCCACTTGGTTCAGCTTTTTGCAGATAAAGGCCAGAAGTTCTATGAGCGTGGAATACTAAATTTGCCAGGAAGATGGCAAAAGGTTATCGAAAAAAATGGCAATTATATATTTGATTAAAGTTCATTCTAAGTTTTATTAAAAATGCATTTACTTTCTTTTAAAAAATCCGCAATTACTTTTTGGACAACCCAATATATTAAGACGATAATTTATGATGTGATTTTAATCAAATGCTAGGTGTACATATGTATACATAAACAAATGTATCTTCATAATGTTAATTGTTAATGTTAACGCAGAGAAAATAATTTTTAAATTAAATATGTTATATAATAGATTTGTATGTATGTATGCACATACATTTATACTTGAAAGTGGTTATTAATTATGCCAACACTTACCAAAACATTGTTGTTCGATGTTAAATGGCTAATATTATATTTATTTACACATAGCAGCAACACCAATAACTCTAATGTTTATTCACTCACTTCGTTGATAATTTTTCAGCATCAAATACATACACACATATGTACATCTATACTGTGCTAATTTGAGAATTTCTTGTATTTGAAAAATTTGCGGTTATTTCATTGCTAGTATGCACTCGTATGTGTTTGAACTTGTTACTAATTGTATAAATATATTTTAGTCGTAAATTTTGAATTGTTTATCATTTTTTTTACTAAACACTGGTTCCTATCAAACGGAACTACAACCCAACGCATTGTAATTGAAATTTATTTAACGTACACATATATTTATACGTGTATATACACAGCTGTATCAGATTTATTACGATTTTAAATATATGTATGTATATTCATAGGTATTTAAGTTTATCTACATCATAAGCACACATGCATACATATTTATAAGTTTTCATAATTACGTTGAGTTTTTATTTGCTATTGAAACATCTGTTGAATATTTGTGTTATTAAACAAATAAAAAAGTTGGCTGAAATGATGAATCTCATTGGCTTTATCACTGCTCTTCACCCCGAAGTTGTCATAAAAAATTCTTCTATCGCAAATTCTATCAACTTATTAATACTAGAAATAACAAACTTTGCATTTAACACTCGCACTTCAAATAAAGAATTCTAGCAAAAAATATATCTTCCCGGGATACACCGATATCTATCACCACATATGTATGTATGTACATTAAGTATACTTTCAAGTTTTTTTTTATAAATTTTTAGTCAATTTCATTTTATAAAACATTAAGAAATAAATGAAGAGTCGTTCTGTGAGTACTCGCTATGATAGCCGGCTTCAATAAAGAAAATTCAGGTCAAAGAAATATGTTATATACATACATAAATATCAACGCTCAAGGAAGCCATAAAGTTGCCAACTAGCTAATATAACATTATCAACTTCTGCCTTAATTTTCAATTTTCATATTTACACACATACAAATGTACACATTTACGAAAGTGTTGAACAAATTTGGTCTCAATAAAGTTGAAAACAATATATGTATATATGTGCATACATATGTACATATGAGAGTTGGTTAAGAAATGCTAAATATATACATAGAAATTTCATTTACGGGTTTAAACGTCAATTACAGAAATGCAATGCGGCCGCGTCAGACGAGTGATTAGTATTGCGTACCGCCATTCGGAAGGCTCGGGTTCAAATCCCCGTGCGACCAACATCCAAAAGTTATAGAAAATTAAGTTCAATTTTCTAATTGCGGTCGCCCCTCGGCTGGGAATGTTAACCCCTCCGAGTGTATTTCTGACATGAAATAAAGCTGCGCATAAAAAACCATCTGTATTTCGGAGGTGGCTTACTATAAACTGTAGGTCCCCCCATTTTTTGGAAAAACATCAAGACGCAAAACCATAAATTTCAGGAGGAGCTCAGCGGAAAATCGCTTCAGCGGTTACAAAGCGCCAGTATATACAATATATAATGCGTTATTACGTCACAGTTAAAATTCGTTACGCATTGAAAATCGATTGCGCTGAACCACCAAGCTGAAAATGTGTTGATTCAACTTTTTTTTCATAAATCGCGTGCGCATGCGCAATTTTACATGTATTGATTTATTTTGTATAAAATAAAAATCAAACTAAATTTAATTTTTTCTGTGAAAAAACGTTTTGATTGATGTGTGATGATTTCTCAAGCATTTTTAAACATACATACATACATATGCACATACGATTTATTTCTTAACAGCGGTGCGCAGCAGATAAGTGATGAATAAGAATGATATTGAACTTATCTATTTTGTAAACGAAAAAGCTGACTCAAACGGCAATGAATTCGAAATTATCACAAATACGTGTAGGTACACATACATGTATGTACTATATAAATATGTGCGTGCATGCACCTAAAAAAAAAATAATACGCAAGGATAATACAATAACCCAAGTCAAGGAGATGACCGCCTCACACAAAACTACAATTTAAAATACACAAGTATAAAAAAGCGCAATATACACTAATTGAAATGATCAGCGGTTCAGGTTTGATAAAGTGGATGTTTCGAAAATGATGCAAAATAATCCTTCACGTCGTCGTTCTGAGTACATAAAGTGTGAAAAAGTGGAACGAAAACTAGGTAACCAAGAAAAATTAAATATACTGGAGAGAAAACAAAAAACGCCACGCCGCCGGTCACAATCACAACAGAGCGTCCGCATCAGACGCAACACGAACACTCTCCCTTATCAGGTTTGTTATTATAGCACGTTATTTTCGACTCATGGTTTTATGGACGCTTTCACGCGCTAAAATATAATTTGTCAGCAGCAAACACAATGGACTCTCCGTTCAAAAAAAATATCGCAATATAACAAAAACTATAACACCAATACGAATTTTTAGTTTGCCGGCGAAATAACCCGTGCATGCACAAACGTATGAATTAAGTCGTATGACGTCACAATAGTATGAATTTTATTTGCGATTTTCAAAATATTTTTTACGCTACCAAATTCAAAAAAGTCCAAAGAACGTGCACTTTATACACGTTTTTACAAGCAAGTTCGCTTGTGTATCGGAGAACTAAAAATACAACCGATTATGCTCAACAGCAAAAGACGACTGAACGTCGATAGGCAGCGGGCTGTAGCTATGAGTGAACTACAGAGACCGCCAACAGTTGAAATGAATGTTAAAATAAGTACATATATGTGCATGTGTGCCTGCAGTACGAACTCGGGCCAGCTGCTGGTCTATAGATACTCCCTTGTGAGATTGTGTGTAATGTCGAGTAAATGGAGATATTATATGCAAGCCACCCAGCCCAGCAGAACATGTAAGATTTGCCTAGTAAATGACACCTTGGCTTGTTGCATATTTCGATCGCGAGCTAAGTAAGTATTCTGCTTGATTGTTAAGATAAATAATGCGAGGTGTGTTAAAAAAATCTGTTGAAATTCGATCTGGATGGAAAAAATATTTATTCATTCTTCTTCTTTTTTATTTGTTAGGGCTTCTACATCGCTCTCGCAATAAAAGCCGAGTCAACAATGAGTTGAAGTTTTCCTCATCCTGGTAGAGTCTGTTCGCAGCTCGGGTTTCGTATTTACAACCTCTCGCGTAGCAAAATTATCCGTTGGTATTAGCCCCGCCACATACATAACTATTCCTTGAAAAACAAAAAATGAACTTCCAATTTTTATGGCAAACGAACTGAAAATTTATTTCCTCATAATTTTTTTTTTATTCCTCCTCAGTTATAATACTGTGCTCGAAGCAGTTCTGATATATGAATAGTTGTTTTTATGGCGATAGAAAAGAAAGAGAAAGAACGAAATTGGTATGTGACAGTATTTCTGAATCTATTACTGCTTTGGTGAAGTCGATGTCACAGACGAAACTGTAAACATATCTTCGGGGCGAGTCCATTGACATTTTTATTTTTTATTCTTTATCTTTTGTATTCTACCTAAAAATTGAAGACTTCTTACAAATGATTGTTATACCAAGAAAATGTTGTGTATGAATGTACATGGATAGCACGAGAAATTCGAAAATTCAATTTGTAATGATTTTTTGCGGGGATGATTAAATTTCCTTATGCATATGTATGTATGTACGTATATACGGCGGAAGCTTCTTGAAAATTATGATGTAAGAACTCAAATATTTGATGTCGAAAAACGTTTCGTAAATATTAATTCTTTTCAGCAAACCTTTAATCAATTTGATCTTTTGAATTCTCCTGTTTCTATTTGTGAATGTCCGTAAGATATACATATACTTAGTTTCAAATCTTTCACTGATGTTATTAAAACATTTTGCAGCTTATAGTCCGCTGCAAAGTTGATTACAATTCGAATTTGGAATTGCTCTGCGCTCCTCACAAAGTTTTGAATTTTCTATTCAATAATAAGCATTTGCACAGCTGGGTATCAGCAAATTTTCACCTGGGTTGTGCAATTCGTACTCTCTTTGACTTTTCGACTCTCAACTCTCGAAATCGTACACTAACACATTGAAAATTTACCGGCGGACTGGTTTTATTGCATCTAATTGTTATTAGAGGTACAGGCTATGTCTGCCCGTATCCTTCCGCATTAATGTAAAATAGTAATGTTTTGTAACCAGTTCAATGAGAGATAGGTGTGTATGTGTACTCGGGTGAAATGCACAGAGTATGCCATTAAAGGGAAGCTGAGCTAAGTATGAGCACACTTCGTAAACATATCTAATGGAATTAGTAATTAAAAATGAAATGAACAAAGGGGCTTCAAGGGTACACGTCATAAGGAAAACAGGAAAAGCTTCTTGAATCAATTTTCTGTAATCGAATGTTTTAGCGAAAATGTGTCCAGAGTGGGTATAGCGAGTAACACGTGAATATTTTCGCCAATATTGCTGCTTGCGTGCGTCAAGACAATTTTTGCACATCTTTAGGTGCTGAACTATTAATTCCTTCCATTTATTAACGAGGGTTTCGATATCACACAATTCTGTTTTCTTTAAAATTTGTTATAAGCAACCAAATTTTAAGACCCTAAAAAAATAATAAGAGTACTATACTTCTCTCCGAAACGTGGACCAGAGACCGATTTAGTCGAAAAGGTTATTTACGGCTCGATTTACTTGAAATTCGGTACATTCGTAGCTGGCATTTAGCTTAGATTAGGAGATTACACTTCTCTCCGGAAAGCGGACCTATTCAAAAAATCTTATTTATGGTTCAATTAACGTGAAGATTATTCTTCTCTCTGGTAAGCGGACCAGGAACCGACCTATTCAAAAAAAATTCTGACTATTATCTCCGGGAAGTGGACCAATATCAATGGTAAAACCAAAAATGTTGTATTTCCACAAGTATTAATAAAATAAAGTTATGATGAGAAGATACCCCATGATTAATTTTTCATACTTCAATGAGTATGTGCGACAGCGAAGCGTTGCTGGTGTCTTCTAAATATTATATGTAATTTCTCTGTAAGTAGCAGTAGATTTTATTAAACAAACCCTCTAACCAGTAAGTAAAAGCCATCGTTTCAATTATGCAATCTTTCAGATTATTTGCTTTATTGGAAATTTTTAGATACACTCTTAGGAATTTCATTAAAGTGTTAATCAGTACTGTTAATGAAGGATGTGTAAGGCTTTGCAATCAATGTCAATATTTACCGATATGATCCACAAGTCTGTAATCCTTGAAATCTGGTAATAACTAATTAACTTAATAATGTGCCGCAGACAGTTTTTTTGAAAGTCCATAACAAAAGAAAAAAGTACGCAGGAATCGAAAAATAACTGCTCAAATAAAGATTTACACAATTGAGTGTGAAATGTAAAAACTTATTTTCTTACGTGAAGTCGCAAATTAATCCTATTCCAAATGTATGATTAACAAATTCTGTGCCAATCAACGCTTCCATTTGTTTCAGAGAATTAGGTTTCGCCTATTATTCTCATATATATATTCACGTAAATTAGAATCCCTGTCATATTTTTTTTCCTTTGCATATTTGGCTAACTGAAGTCTTTTTTAATGATTATCATCGTCTGTTTATAACTTATTGTAATCCGTTTTTAAATTTCCATTATTAATCCAAATATTCTGAATCCATCGAAATCCTTAATAACTCCATTCCATTCCATCCATTCCAATTTCCGTGAATAGAGCGGAAAGAAAATTAAAATATTTTATTAATATAAAAAAATGGAATTTATTTTCATATGAAATATGCGCAAATTAGTTATTTTATGGGAGATGCATAATTTAATATTTGAAGCTTCTTATTCTTTGAATATTGTACTAAGAGCAGTCGCAAATTATTCAATAGCTGTAAACTTTTTAAATCAATTATTTCAAATGAAATGTTTTGGCAAAAAAAAAAACGCTTGCCTTAAAATATGTGTATTCCCTGAAGATTACACTCCAATTTGCAAAGATTTTAAAGCTTTCCGAAAGTGGAGTTCTAAATCATCTGACATGAGACGTTGCGATAAAAAAAAAATCCTTGATATATGCGCTCGACACATGGTAATGTTGCGATGTGATTTTTTTTATTAATAGCTCTTTTTTCTTTTTTAAAACTAGAAGTTTGATCGAGAACGCGACCTTGACCTGGAATATGATCGCCGAACTGGGGAATATGTAGGAGATCCGCGACGACGACCACGTGGTGAAAAAGATCGGGATCTAAAAATAGTTATCATAACATTAGAAAAATTTGTATTCAATACATGAAACTTTATATATATACCTATCACCCCGGCGGTCACGACTACCACGGTCTCCATCTCCGGAATCTTCTCGCACTCGTATGTATGAGACTTCTCCCTAAAACGTAATTTAAGATGTTTACTTTTTTTTTTTAAATAATAAAATAAAACTATTTCACCAACTCACTTCATGAGATCTAAAACGAGAATCATCTAATTTTTTGATGGCATATTTCATATCTTCTTGCCTCAAAAACTCAACAACGCCAGTACCGTCCTTATAAGCATCCGCAAAGCAAACATCGCCAGCTTCACGCATATGATCCTTCAAATCCTGCCAGGAACCGGACGATGGCAATCCTGTTACCATTACTCGGTATTGCGACCGTTTGGTGGGTGGACCGCGACCACCACCGCCTCCTCCACGACCACCATCGTTTCGGTTTCGATCATTACGATTACCTCTGAAACTGCCTGGTCCACCACCTCTTGGAAATTCAACACGCAGTTTATAGCCGTCATAATCATATCCATCTCGAGCTTTCACTGCATCTTCTGCATCCCGGGGATCTTCAAATTCGACAAATGCGAATGGAGGACCACGCCTATTCTTCAAGTCGACAAACGCTACTTTGCCAAATTTATGAAATAAATCCTGGACATCCTTTGTTCGTATGTCCGGGGGTAAATTTCCAACGTAAATACGACTCGCAGTACGTGACATTTTATGACGAAATATAAATGTTTATAATGAGTTCGCGCAAAACGTGAAACACTGCTTTTATTAATTACTCGAAAACGTGAGACAATAAGTTTATGCGAGTTGTTTTAAAAGAATGGCGCACTTTAGTAATAGTTATCGCATTTTCAGTGAGTAGTACAATTACTTTAAGAACAGTGCAGGGTGTCTAAACTATACTTGACTAAAGACCGTGACCCAATGCCAGCGGGCTTCCCTTAACTTGTTTCATTTTGAATGCTTGTATAAGAGAATGTAAATCAGAGAACGTAAATACAACGAGAAGGTTCAATTGCGGACCAGCTTGTAAACTGTCAAAAGCTGCCAAGTTACGATGGATGCAGTTCACCACAGGCTGCCAGACACTAACAGAATTTGCTATTGATGCATAACATTACTGAGCGTAGCAAAATTAAATAAGCTCAGAAATCGGGTGGTATGTCTGCAACTAACATTGCTTATGTTAACATCAGACAAAGAACGTATATGAGAGAAATTTCGGTTTCGCTTCAGCATTTCGCCCCTCCGAACTACGAATTGTGTGAAGAGGACGCGAAACCCTGAGATTCGACCTTCAATTTACGCTCTTTCTGAAAAAGCCAATTTACGAGACCGTCATGCCGCTTCTTATTCATATACGTTCTTTGATTGGACCTTCAATTTACGCTCTTTCTGAAAAAGCCAATTTACGAGACCGTCATGCCGCTTCTTATTCATATACGTTCTTTGGCAATAGCGTTCTTTTATAAGAAGGATTATTTATTCATCAATTGTAATGTTAACATATTAATGAGATGTCTGCTTAATATTTTTTTTTTTTTGATTTTTTGATAGTAAAATTTAAAATAAGAGGGAATCGATGCAAAGTTAAAATTATTGTAATCAAAGAACGTATATTCATATACGTTCTTATGTTATATGCAATTGCACGAACAAAATTACTCCTTCGGTACTTCGGTATGGTTTCAACAAATTCCACATCGTTCCGCTTCTTTAAACTATCGAGGTACATATAAAAATATCCGCCATTGCTGCAGGTTTTTTGTAATAAGTGTATATGCAAAGTTTTTCGTACCAATTTTCGCAATTTGAAAACAAAAATCATCAATCGGGGTTATATACTATAAACCATATCTGGTTTTATATATTGAAGTTCATTTATAATGTCTCGTAGTGAAAGTCGCATTTATGTTGGAAATTTACCTCCAGATATACGTACAAAGGATATTCAAGATTTATTTCACAAATTCGGCAAGGTAGCATTTGTAGACTTAAAAAACAGGCGTGGTCCGCCATTTGCATTTGTCGAATTTGAGGATGCTCGTGATGCGGAAGATGCGGTAAAAGCCCGTGACGGGTATGACTATGATGGATATAGGCTTCGTGTAGAATTCCCACGAGGAGGCGGGCCAGGAAGTTTCAGAGGTAATCGTAATGATCGCAACCGAAACGATAGTGGCCGTGGGGGTGGTGGAGGTGGCAGAGGACCACCTACAAAACGCTCACAGTATCGAGTAATGATAACAGGATTACCTTCGTCTGGTTCATGGCAAGACTTAAAAGATCATATGCGGGAAGCAGGTGATGTTTGCTTTGCTGACGCCTACAAGGATGGTACAGGCGTTGTCGAATTTTTGAGACATGAAGACATGAGGTATGCCATAAAGAAATTGGATGACTCGCGTTTCAGATCACATGAGGTAAATGAAAATGCATTTTGAATATTTGCAGTGTACAACATAAATAGGTACATATGATTATATTCCTTTGCATGTTAGCACATACAATAAATTTTTAATATATCCAAATATAAACATACATATGTTATTTAGAATTTTTATATAGTTTATGCATATGTCTATATTTTATAATTTTTCGAACAGGGCGAAGTTTCTTATATCCGGGTTCGTGAGGATTCTGGTGATGGCGATCGAGGTGGCCGGGACAATCGTGATAGGTATATGAAAACATAAAATAGAAGTGATAATCATTTCTTGATAATAATTTTTTCCTAGATCTCGTTCATATTCTCCACGCCCACGTCGCCGAGGTACTCCCACGTATTCTCCTTTACGCCGCTCATATTCCAGGTCAAGATCTCGTTCACGATCAAACTTTTAATCCAAAACATATTTAAAAATCATACAAACAAAAAACACAAGAATATATAATACGTTAAATAATGAGCAAATTCGTATGTAATAGTGTTAAAAACAACTATTATTTCAATTCATATTGTGTATTTTAATTTAATCAGTAAAGTAAACGTTTTTACGTGATGCTCACCATTCGATTATTTTTAGCATTTGCACATCCTAAAGTTTTTAATTTAAATCAGTCCCATATATATATATATATATATATTCTAGAAATTGGAATAAATAACCCCCACTACGAATCGCTTAAAATTTATGAATTGAGATTTTAATTAACACTACTTACAGACACAAAATATGCCAATAAAAATTATGAATTTACCGCTTTGGTTAGAATACTATTAACAAAATAAAATTTAGATTTTGAAATACATTACCAATAATATTAATATATTTTTCTTCTTTCGCTCTGTTCACGAAAAATCGTATGGATGGAATGGAAATATGGATTATTGGGAGTAACTGTAATGAAAATAAGGATACCAGAATTTTGAGAATTCGGATTTATATAACATAAGGATATGAATACATCTTTATCAGGACATTTCCGCCTGGGATAACAATTCTTTCGATTCAACGTACAAGTTTGCTGCTATATTCCTATATTATCCAGGAAAATATTTCTGTGTGTAGCAGCTTCTTACGTTGCAGCTTTGTCTCCTTTCAATATTTTCGCTTCGTTCTTATTTCATACTATTCTGTGGAGGAGGAACTTAAGATGCTACATGTTGTTAGGAGAAGTTTTAGGACTACGAGGGAGGATTCTTTATTCAGCCTTAACGAAACAGTTAGCTTTCAACTTATAACCGTAAACAGAGAACACCATAAAGCCTTTAATTCCTTGAAGAGAAATCAAACTTTGGAGTTATTGCCAGGAAACTGAAACGGAACCTTTTCAAATATATAACACTGGAATTTATTAGTATAGGATTTAATAATGGTGAGACGTGGATAACAATACGAATTAGTATGGACAGTGTTCTTTTAACGAATCAGGATTAGGAAAAAAATGACGGATTGCAATATTATTCTTAAACTTTCTATTTAACCAATCATCCAACCTCTGCGTCAATTGGATTTCGTCACTCCGGTTTTAAATGGATTTGAAAAGGAAGGCTGCTCTAACTAAATTTCTAGTCATCCAGACATTTGCTAGCTTTCAAAGTGGCCTCAAAGTCTCGTAGGATTTTGGATTTCACTGGTAAATATATTACCCAATTACTAAACCAATGATATATTTCGTTGTTCACCACGTACATATATTAATTAATAATGTTCTTAAAAAAGCATAAAAACCACCACTACACCCTCCGCATTAAAAGAATCGTAGCAAACAATAATACATTAATAATCTCTGTTCCGAAATAATTTGTTCTATAATTTAATTTTTGTGCATTTGCTTTTTGAGAATTACCCTGCTTTTCACTTAACTTCATTTATACCCTTCTTGACATCAAACTTCTAGTTTTCATCCATAAATCTGAATGGTAGTATAAATTTAATGGCAAGTTGAGTCCAGTCCGTATATCTGTGGCTCGAGAATTTACCTAAACTGCGCTTGGGTTTATGAACAACTTTTTATTTCTCATGATGTGCATACTCCCCACCAAAGAGCGACAGCATTTGGTATAATATTTTAATAACTACATTTGAATACCACTTTGAATTGGGTAGAACCCATTAAATACCATCCGTTGGGTGCCGGTATCAATTTCAGATATCGCAAATTCATCTTTGTTTATGAAGGGTATAAGGCCTTCGGCATAGTCGAAAACAACAGCGATTTATTGTATTATTTAAAAAAAAAACTTTTGGTTAAACAAAAACATATATACATAAAATCTAACCCCAAATAATTTTTAAATTTTTAAACAAGAATATTTACTTGTACACACATGCATACATGTAAAATAATATTTGCAAAATTTAATAAATAAATTACTTGTGACTCATAAAATTGCTTTTCCCAATATTTCATCAATTTTTCGGCATAAAAAGGTAAAAGATGAATGCGTAGAAATTAGAGAAATTCTTATCACCGAGAAAGTTGAGGCCAAAAAGTTACTGAACCCAACGGATATAATTTTTAAGAAAATTTTCAGGTTTCTAATCATAAACTATGAAAAAAACACATGTAAGTATATCTTAAAATAATTTTATTGTGAAACCCATTAAAGTATACCTATACAGGATTATACCTAAAATCGCGTAAGGAAAATATTATACAAAGCAATATGTAAAAAATGTTTCCGAAAATATAGTCGTATACATATAGCAAGTGATGTTTTAAGTTTAAGACTCAAACTTATGAAATATATTTTCTTAAAATAAATAAATTACTATAATTCCTTATGTTTAAAAGTTTTACAAAATGTTTTGGTAGTTTCATTAGCATAATTTATTTAATTTATGCTGCTGCAAATCTTGAATCATGTTTTCCCTTTTCGGCTGAGTTATTTACAATTATTTTACACCGTTTACGCTAGGTTTTTTTTTTTTTATTAATTTAATAGTATAAACTGCACGTATAAAGTTTATAAAAATCTTTTTGCTCTTACAAATACATTTAAATATCTACACTTATGATCATTTTCATCCTAAATTTATGTTACAAACTACTTTATTCTACCAACTTTACGCATGACAAATGACAATATACTATTTCGCCTTGGAACTTGAGTAGTTATTGTTGTACAAGTAGTTTATTAGGTTTGGTTCGATTTCTAATTTTTGCTTTAGTATCGAACTCATCACAAACTCTGTCGAAACTATTGGACACTTCGGACTGCCTTGGCGAGTCAAATCTATACACAAATGCATATCATTAGGACACGTTACAATTATGTAAGACTCTGGGGATTGCGCATGTGTATCAGCAATCGATTGTGCGGTACGCCGCTTTGTCTCCACTTTGCCACCAGATGATTCAATCATGCGTACGATTTCGTTGCGCGCGGGGAACACATCGGGTGTAACGAAAAAATTCTTCCCAGAAAAAAGTGTATTTCGTATGCTTGAACGTAGAACGGTGTCTATATGGAATTTAAGGTTCTCATCGACAGGTATGTATTGAATTTTATATGGTTCGGGCAAAAGAAAGCGACCTGCCTTAGCGCTCTCCACCAACCAACTAGATTTAAGCACATAATCAACATGACACACGGCTTGAATTAGTTTACAAGTACGACTTTCACGGGTCATAACTAGGAAGGTTGCATCCTCTGGATTGTCCACAACAATGCCGCCAAGAGATCTGAAATTATTATTTTTTTTTTGTTGATAATTGCATTAACTTTCATAGCAAAATTTTGTACTTACAGCACTGCTTTTTTCAACGAGTCTGGATCAGCCACCTGGGAAAATATGACCTTTGGCGGTTTGTCATTGTGCGGGTATTCAACACAAATTATGTTTTCTGGTATTTCTTCTTGATATGGAGAGATCTTTTGACGCTTGCACTTTTGCTCGAAGAATGGATCAGCCAGCGATCGTTTGACGCGTTCATGTGCTTCCTGTGTAAGATTTATTGGCGCCTTCCACGCAGCTATAAAATATAATATAATAATAAATATGTTTAGGGAAGGAATATTCATTTTTTTTTTTTAATTCTGTTTAATTTTTTTCACTTACCCATCAAATGTGGTACTAACGGATAGTCGATTCTAAAAGGCGCATCCAGCGAATATTGCTGGTACTTCTGATTCTCATACTGCGACATACCGCTCAGATTGCCTATGCAAATATCCGCCAACCAAATGGCATTTACAATTGGTATATTCCATTCTTTAGCGGCAACGTATTTATCTCCTTCTGGAATTTTACAAATCAGGACTGTATTGTGTTTCGACAAGTATGAAGTGTATATGGCACCACACTCTTCTACCATCTGTTTAACACGAAAGCTCTCTTCACCTTCAAACCCATACGTTGAAATAATATGCCTTTCCAGGGGTTTTTGGTAGCCGAATTGACTGGGAAAAGGGAGATGCAAGGCCTGCCAAGGCGGAAGTAATTGCTTTTTAAAACATATATCACTTAACCAGTAAGCGGTTATGCAACGCTTGGAGTCTCGCAAAGCCTGCATTACGTCGCCGTGACGTTGCGTTCGACAGAGTACATGAGTAACGCGTTGACTATAGACGCGTTCAATATCGCCTCCAAATTGACGTATAGTTTCCATCCAAATGGGTAATTCATCGGCATCGGTTTCTTTGTACTCCACGATGTAGAAAGTGCAGCCGACAAGGAAAAGATCAGCCGGCAGCTTTAAATTGGGATTGTGACCGTAAAACTGCGGCCTTGGTGGCAGCGGCATATTAGGGCGGCCCTGTATAAACCCACCGGGTGTCATTACGCCTTGTGGCGTTTGCACTGATGGAGACTGGGGAATTTGGGCCACTGAAATATGCTGCTGCACGCCAGTTGCAATACCAATTTGCTGGGGATGCTGTTGAGAGCCCGCAACAATTTGTTGTTGGTTAGCAGGATTCACAACATGCCCACCTGCCGACAATTGTGTCTGCAGCACAGCTCCCGACCGGCGCAGTTGCAACTGCTGCTGTTGTTGTTGCTGAATCATCATGAGTTCTTGTGGAGTACGCGGTGGCGCACTACCGACGCCTGCCTGCATGAGTTGCGCGCCCGGCGGTGCACCTGACTGTTGCAACGATGCATTATGTTGCTGTGTCATTAATCGCAAACGCCCAGCAGCTGTGTCTTGTTGTTCCAGCACAACATTGCCTGCTCCGATTTGCTGTTGGGGTGATTGCTGCTGCTGCTGTTGCTGTTGTAAAATTACGCCCGTCGGCGTCGCACTGCCAGCCACAACCACCTGATGTTGTATTATTTGCTGCGGATGCTGCTGCTGCAAAGTTTGATCTCCCAACGGCGTCCCACCAGCAGATACTACCATTGTCTGTTGCTGTTGAATCTGCATGGTGCCGCCGTTGTTGTTGCCCAAACGACTGTTTAGCATATTGGCCAAAGCAGTTTTCGTTTTCATATTCATTTGCTGTTGCTGCGTCTGTTGCATAACTTGTTGTTGTTGCTGCGCATTTCCAATTTGCTGTTGTTGTTGCTGCTGCTGCTGATTTTCGCCTGAATTCATAACAATCGTCCGAGGAGTGAGTGCTGCTGCTGCGTTTCCAGGTGTAGTCGGCTGCTGTTCACCACCAATCGCAGGCTGGCCACTGGTAACCACTTGCAGTCCGGGTTGTTGGTGCACTGTCTGTTTCTGCTGCAGCTGTACCTGCTGAATCCGTAACTGGCGTTGTAGCATCATTTGTTGATTGGGGTCATTGGGATTGAATGGGGTAGCATTTGCGACTGATCCTTGTTGTTGTACCTGCTGTCCGCCACCTACAATTGGTTGTTGCTGCTGGGAGATCGGACTTAATCCAGGTGCTCCGCCGGCGCGAACGACGACCTGACGAGCACCTTGCTGCTGTAACCATTGCATTTGCTGTTGCTGTGTGAGTCCTGCTGGCATTTGGCTCTGCACAATGATATGCGTTCCAGGTGTGGGTGCGCCAGGAGGTCGTTGCAATGTAGTGCCTAAGGCAGTGGCCACCACGTTAGGAGCGCCTGCACGTGGTGGATAGGGAACTTGTGGCCGAATTAGGACTCTTTTGTGGTTTTGCTGTTGTTGTAATTTAGCAATATATTCCATTTTCTTTACAGGATCTAAGGTCATTAGAAGTGCATGTGTCTTGTCATCGACTTGTATGACTTGCCGTTGAGGTTGTCCTTGAATCGGTGCGCTTCCAGGAGGCATACCTGTCTGTTGCCATTGTCCCGGGCGTACGGCTCGAATGAATTGCTGTGGCGGTTGTAAGTTTCCTATTGAAGAATTGCCAGCAATTACCTGAGTGCCACTTACTACTACGGGATTACTGGACTGCATTGGTTGCTGTTGTATTCCTGCGGGACTTTGTTGCTGTTGTTGCGCCGACCAATGTGGTTGTTGCTGTTGTGGTGAGTTTTGCTGAATAATTAATTGCTGTTGTTGTTGCTGTAGGTGCGTCTGTTGCTGGTGCTGAGGCGATTGGGATGCAGAAATTAGTTGTTGCTGTGATCCCTGTTGCTGCTGAAGAACTACAGTTTGTTGTATTGGTTGCTGTTGCAATATTATTTGTTGCTGCTGTTGTTGTTGCTGATGTTGTTGTTGTTGCTGTTGTTGTTGTTGCTGTGATGGCGGCCCATCAACTGATTGTTGTTGCTGTAGGGTCGGTTTTTGTTGCTGTAAAATAATTTGATTTGGCATATTATTAACAGGTGGCATTGCCATCATTTGTTGTTGCTGAGCTTGCGCTGGATGTTGTTGTTGAGACGCTTGTGTGGGAACAGTTTGTTGTTGTATGATAATTTGTTGTTGAGGAGATTGTTGCAGTTGCTGTTGACCGACAACTATTGTGTTTTGAGGCGGTTTTCTTTGCTGCAATTGTAACTGGTGTTGTTGTTGTTGCTGCTGCTGCTGTTGCTGTAGATATTGTAAGCGCTGTGGGTTACTAATAACCTGCTGATTAATGACTATTTGTTGTGGTTGTTGCGGCATATTTCCTTGTTGCGGTTGTTGTTGCAGTTGTATACGTTGTTGCTGTTGTTGCTGCTGTGGATTAAGTATGACTTGGGTTTGTGTTATTATTTGCGGCGACTGCTGTGCGTGCTGCAACTGTTGTTGTTGTGGCGGTTGCTGTACCATACTATTGGCTCCATCGGCCAACTCGATAGATTGTTGGCGATGCATGTAAATAGGGGTTTGCTGCGGAGGCTTAAGACCCGGAGTTGGGCTTTGTGGTATTTGTTGTAACTGTTGCTGTGGAGATTGCTGCATTTGAACTTGTGGTTGCTGCTGCTGAGGAGATTGTTGCATAGGATGTTGTATTATTTGCTGGACAATTTGAGGCTGTGCATGTTGCTGTTGTTGTTGCTGAGCAGTCAAATTCGTTTGATTAACTATAACAAGGTTTTGATTCTGTTGATTTTGTTGCAAGATTTGTTGCTGCTGCTGCACACTAAGCTGTTGGAATTGTTGTTGACTTATGATTATTTTCGATTTGTTCGAAACCGTTATCTGCGTGGGCCCGCCACCCATACCCAATTGCTGCTGTTGTGCTTGTTGTGCAGATTGAGGAGGAATTTGAATTTGTTGGGTTATTATCTGTGGCTGTTGGTGTTGTTGTTGCTGCTGTTGCTGCTGCTGCTGTTGAGCCAAGGGTTGTTGCATATTAGGACTTATTGTTTGTTGTTGATAATTTGATACGCCTTGTACTTGTTGTGGCGTTATTTGGGGCTGTTGAAGCTGTTGTTGTTGCTGTTGCGGCTGCGGTTGCAAAGTTTGTTGAATAATGCAAACCTGTCCTCCTGACATTGTCATTTGTTGTGGTTGACTAAATTGCATCGCTCCCGGCTGTTGTTGTTGTTGTTGTTGATGATGCGGCTGTTGCTGTGACTGAGGTGATACTCCACTTACCACCATACCACCTTGTTTTTGTTGTTGCTGCTGGACAGCCAGTTGTTGTTGCTGCTGAATTGTCATTATTTGTTGTTTTTGTTGATTTTGTTGTTGTTGCTGCTGCTGTATATTCAACATATGGCTTTGTATTAATTGCTGACCCTGGACCGTTGATGTGTTAATGACATGCCTTTGAGCAATGATTTGATGTTGTTGATTGCTGGGGTTGATGACAACTTGCTGTTGCACTTGTGGTTGTTGTAAAGGTGACTGCCTTGCTGATTGGGGCTGTTGCTGAATTTGTAAACTTTGTTGTTGTTGTTGCTGCTGTAGTGCCTGCTGCTGCTGAAGAGCCTGTTGTTGTTGTTGCTGTTGTTGTTGGAGTGCCTGTTGTTGGAGTGCCTGTTGTTGCAGAGCTTGTTGTTGTTGTAATGCCTGTTGTTGCTGCAACGCCTGCTGCTGCTTCAAATGTTGCTGTCGCATTATTAGGGATTCATGATTCGGGCTCGGTGCAGAACGGCTAAGGACCTGTGCCACCTGTACTGGATCCGTAGGGTCTATAGGTTTCATTTGTTGCATTATTTGTTGTTTACTTTGCTGCGATGGTGTCGTAGGTTGCTGCATCTGCGGTGACTGAGGAGCCGAGTTGTGCTGTGGACTTTGTTGTTGTTGGGCTAGCGTAATGCGTTGAGGTTGTTGAAAGGGCTGCAAAGTTTGCTGTTGTTGGTGCTGTGGGGACATCATTGACTGGTGTTGGGGAGACCCAATTGTTCCACCCATTCCTTGTGGTTGTTGCTGGCGTTGCTGCTGCCGATTTTGCATTTGCTGTCTCAATTGCTGTTGCTGAACCAATTGCTGCTGCTGTTGCTGAGGTTGTGGTGAGTGTGGAGGCGGTGTCATTTGAAGTGCTGGTGACTGACGTGGCGATTGCGGGGGCATCATGCTGCCACCAATGGGAAGTTGAGGTTGTTGTTGTTGTTGCAATGAAGGCGATTGTGGTTGCTGAGCTTGGTGGACACGTGGCGACTGCTGCATTTGATGAAGCTGCTGTTGCTGCTGTTGTTGTTGTTGCTGCTGCAATTGTAATTGTTGCTGAAGCTTCTGTTGTTGCTGTATTAATTGTTGTTGTTGATGTTGTATTTGCCGCTGAAGGGCTTGTTGTTGCGGAGTCAAACTCTGGCCATTTTGTATGTGCTGTTGGAGCTGAAGTTGTTGTTGCTGAAGAATATTTTGTTGGTGTAAAATATGTTGGTGCAACATTTGAGGAGACATTTGCACCGTTTGCTGTTGGAGTGAATGTTGCGATTGTGGCGACATCGGTATTGAATTAGGATGTTGGGGGGACTGAATAGTTGGTTGTGGCGTTGTGCACGGCGTTCTTGGCGCCGGTGTTTGCCTGCCGCTGGGAGTTTGTGGTGTACGAGTTTGCGTATTGTTTCCACCAGTAGGTGTTGGTGTAGAAGTTGGAGTTCGCGGATCAGGTATTACAGGCGGTCCGCTAGATGTGGGTGTCGAAGGAGCTGTACGAGATTGAGGAGGAAGATTCGTGTGGTTTGGTGGCTGGGGTTGAGGAGTACGTGGTGGTTGTGGCAGTTGTTGTTGCTGAATTATTTGAATGTGGTGCTGTGGACTTTTTAGAGTTCTTTGCTGTTGCAAAACGTTTGCTGAGCCCATTTTTGCTTGACCTTGCTGCTGCATTTGTATTTGTTGCTGGGCAACGACATTTGGAACAATTTTTTGCTGAACAATTATTTGCTGCGTTGGCAATGAAGATGGTAAAACAGGTTGTTGGGTGCCGCCGACTATTACTTGTTGTTGTTGAATGTTACGAGGACGCACAAACACTATTTGTTGCTGAGGCTGAGGTTGTGTCTGCATTTGAAGATTTTGTTGTGCTGGCGATGACATAGTGGACTGCAATTGCGATTGGTTAGAGATTTCGGCTGATATCCCCGGCAACGATGGAGCTTCAATGCTTGCTTGATTGTTCAGCAAACAGCTTGTCAGTTGTTTACTCTTCGCATCCGCAATACCTCCGTTTGCAAGAGTTGGAGTATCAGGTAGTGGCGGTAAAGATGCCTGCAACTCCGATTTGATATTAGCAATGCTCTGAGCAGCATCGGCGTCATTTACGTCACTACCTAGTGTATTGTCGATGCTGTTTACAAGGCCACCTATGTCGTCATCATCAAATCCTAAAATTGTCGACAGTGTTTTCTCAACTGAATTTGAATCTGTGATATTATCAGCCATTGACGAGACAGCTTGATTCGAAATATTTGTAGCAGGCACTTGACTGACTGACGTAGAAATGTTAGTCAATTTTGGAACAGTCTTAGGTCTGTCTATAACTTTTAGTAGACGAGGATGGTATCCTTCGCAATTTAAGGTTTTTCCATGTTTTATACTGTCTATCACCCAATCCGGGCTAACCAAATTCGCTGATCCTTTTGTGGCGCGATTATACAATTCACCTTCCGCACTGCCACATATAATGTGTGTGATATTGCTTTCAATCCTGGGAGAAACAAGAGCTCCATGAAAAGTTAATATTGCATATAATCGTTTGAAATCTGCTCTGGACAAATTTATCATAGAAAACTTAAAAGATTTGAAAAGACGCGGAGTACTTGGATCGAACGCTTTTGTAGACGCCAGGCGTCCTAATTTGGCGCTGTGCACAATCCACTGATCTGTGACTGGTATAACATTGTAGAGGTCCAAGTTCATAGCCAATTCTTCTTCAGTGTAGTTGGGCGCACACACCAAATGGGTGACCACATCCGATAAAAAACGTTTCGACTGCGCGCCTCCATCTTTGAGTATCTTTTCAACCTGGAATTTTTATAAATGTAGTTATATATTTACAGTATTAAACAAATTCTGTTAAAACCCAATGGACGTTTGCTAGAAGTTGTTATATTACGATGATCACCGCAAAAGCAGAATCATAAAAAAGTGAACAATCTCGGTAATAAACCCGTCATATCATCAAAAAAAAATGTAAATTCATGGATACCATTTCGTGGTTTCAAAAGTCTGTTTTTTGACATCTGTCAAAGCATCATAGCTTTGCTCCTTACACCTTAAATATCGCCACCTCCATCCGTATAAAATACAAAACAACTAAACCAGCTGACCATTCTCAAGGCCGTACCTTCGTTAGTCGATAGTGTCCTTTAATAACAAGCAGTAAAAGGGGATTTTTGGAAAAATAAATTTCTTCATCGACAAGACCCAATTCTCACTCGCGGTATACGTAAGTAAGTAAATTTTCGCAATTAGTTCACTTTATATTTAAGAAAAAAGTGAGTTTAAAATGCATTTAAGCTCATTTTCGAAACCACTAAATGGATAGCCCTGTATATATCCATACATATACACCCTGTGACAGCTTGGCGCTCCAAGGCAAAGCAGCCACCTCGTTGCCCTACCGAACAAAGCGATTATATCGAACATACTTCGATTTACTCACCTCATCGTCTAAATTCCCATCGACAAAATAGCGTATATTCGCAAATAAATTATCACTTATTTTCAAATTTTCCATGTTTCAAACACATTTCACGAGTTATTCCCTTGCTTAGTCTTTTGTTTTCTTTTTGCACGTAGTCGTGCACAGCAGTCGTATTTCAACGATCTGGTCATTCACAAATTCGCTGACACAATTAACAGCAAAATGTACATATTAAAGCTTTAGCCCCTTAATCAATATAGTCTATTTTAGATTGTAAACACAATCAAATGAAAGCGACCTCTGTTTTATAATAAATTTGCATAAAAATGTACGACAATGAAAAGGAAGAACGCCACTTGACCGATTGAAACACTACCATATTTTGGTTGAAGTTGGCTGTAATGTTAATAAGGCGGTTGCCATATATTAGCAATGAAGTAATTTCCAATTAAAAATGTCTATAAGTACAGACGTCGTGAATTACTTAGAACAATGCAATAATGTTCACACATAACCTATTTTCACCTTAAAATCATTTGAAAAACACTTTCCACTTATTCCAGTTGACGTCTGCACGAGTTTGTTCAATATTTTTTATATCGAAGTGGGAAACATATTTGGCCCTATCAAAATATTCATTCCCAACAAAATTGAGCAAAATGTTTTACCTTAACTTTTGTTAACGATTATTATTTACAATTATCTAATGAATTCTACAAATCCCACATCGTCCCACCTGCTATATGGTGCGGAAGCATGGACGATGACCTCATCTGATGAGTTGGCGTTAGGAGTTTTAGAGAGAAAGGCAACGGCGAATATCGCGAACGATGGAACGATGAGCTGAGCGAGTTATACGGCGACATTGATTTAGTTCAGCGAATCAAGAAGCAGCGGCTACGCTGGCAAGGTCATGTATTCCGGATGGTTACGAATACTACAGCTTTGAAAGTTTTCGATGAAGTACCCGCCGATGGAAGCAGAGGAAGAGGAAGATCTCCACTCCGTTGGAAAGACCAGGAAGAGAAGGTTCTGGCTGTACTTGGTATTTCCAATTGGCGCCAAACAGCAAAAACAAGAATCGAATAACGTATTGTTGTTAACTCGGCTAGAATAGCGTAAACGGTGTCTATGCCAGTGGAGTAAGTAAGTAGTGAATGGCGAAGTAGCTGGAAAAAATGGTTCTTTCTCTATGATAGTCCCGTAATTGCCTTGTGCAGGCCCTACAAGCATTACCACAGGTTTGATACCTTACTAATCGAAAAATTCTAGAGATTTTATGATATTGTCCTACTAACCTCAGTACGCTTATGTTTGCCTTCTTTACCAATACAAATTTATAATTTTGCAAATTTTTATTTATGGCTCTTAATATGTATAATAGTGATCAGAGGTGTCAGATGTAGCAACGCAGCGTACAAACCAAAAAACTCGTTTTCGAAGAGTTTACGATAGCGGTCCGAACAGGGTATTAGATTCTACAGTGGTGGATCACTCGCTTCAACAATCTGGTAGCATTCGTATTGATTTTCGAATATTATGCCTTTTAAGTAGAAATGTCAAGCACAACTTAAGTTCAACGATACAACAAAAAATATCTAAAAAATAAGCGTCTATTGGCATAGCAAAACATTTGTGTTTAAATACAAATCAAATATAAGAAAGTGTTCAGAAAATATAAATTCAAATTAAATATGATCTATCTGCTGCCTAGTGAAGTATATAAACATATGATAATGTTTCATAAAACTAATAAGCGGCAATTTGTGTTTGTTTTTAATTGGAAGAGTATATATTGTATGTAAAATAATAAAAGTCCTGCCTAAAACAAACAAAATCTATTTTCCTTGAGAAGACCATACCAGAATAAGTAAAATACGTTTAAAATACTTATACGAATACGTTGTGAAATGTCCGTAGATTACCGTAGCGTAAGCTTTCACGACTTATGTCGCGTCTGCACAGCCCATGCGGAGCAACGCATTAATATATTCTCTCCTGAAGGTAAAAGCAAAAACTTGTGCACCAAAATTACCGATTGCTTGTCATTGTTGGTAAGTGCCTAAAAACTAATGCAAAATTAATAAAAATAAAATTAACTAATTTAATTGTAGGTTGATGAAAAAGATCGCCTTCCAAAAGTCGTTTGTGCAACATGTTTGGAACAAGTTGAAGAATTTTACAAATTTCGAAATATTTGCAAAAACTCACAAAATATGTTAAGCAACTGTTTGAAACAGGCTACACAAAATAGTACCGGTAGGGTCTATATAAAAGATGCTATTGCAGCAAACTGTGGCAAGAGTCTGAGTGTAATAAACAATAGTACAACAAATGCCCAACAGGACGAACATAATAAACCATGTACTGAATTAAATAGCACACAGAATTATTCAACAATAACGCCTCAATCGGAGTCACAACAAAATATTTCTAACCTGGGAATAATACCGAATAACAGTAATGATATCCTCAACTCTATTTTGCAGTCCATCGGTGTGCAAGTAAGAATATTTATTTTTAACCAGTTTTCAGTAATTTTCTTAATAATTATTATATTCTTTTAGCATATTGCGGACACTGGACAAGCGGATAAGCCGCTCATACAGGAATATGCAATCTCCATGGATAGCAAAGGAGGATTAAAGACTGAACCTTTGCAGCACAAGCTAGAAAATGTACCATCTGTCCAAAAATTATTTAATTCGCAAACGTCTCAACAACAAAAAGATACTACATCTAAAGATGCGGATCACAAGTAATTAATATATATTTTTTTTAATTATCATATGATTGTTATTATTTAAGTGTTTACAGATCTCTTGCTGAATTTTTGAAAATGAAACCGAATATAAAAGTTACGTCTTTGGGTAAAAGCAATAACAAAAAACTTGAGGAACAACATCAACAACCACAGCGCTTGCCAGTCCAATCGTCTCATATATCGCAAATCAACCTACAACAGGAACAGCTTCTACAAGTACCGCAACAATCCTTTGCGCAGTCAACAAATTCGGCTGTAGCTAACATACAATTACAACAACTACAGCAACAGCTACAACAAATTCAACTGCAACAACAACTGCAGCAACAGTTACAACAAATCTCGTCCCAATTACATCCGCCGCCAACAATAACACTTGGCCCCTCATCTTTAAGTGGTGGCGATGAGTCTAGTCCAAGCAAAAGCAAAAAGGCCAAACTTAATTTTGTGCTTACATCACCCACCTCACAGACACTTACTGCTACACTTCCGCAAATAGCCATGGGCACTAACACGCAGCAACCACAAATCCAATTACAACTGCAAGCACCTCAAGCACAGCAACATGTGCCAGCTGCAACGTTATTGTCAAATTTAGCACCATTTTTACAACAACAGCCACAACATAATCTCGGCGCTACGAATCTCCTACAGACACCAACAACGACAACGCCGTTAATGCCATCACCGAATAAATGCTATCTTCCCATTACAATTAAAGATGAGAATTCGGATCAGCAAATCGTAGCACACATTGATGCTAAAAATTTTATGCTCCCTACAACATATCAACTGCAAATGAAATTGCAGCCACAGATCGCCACGGCGGATGGACAACCTATTATGCAATTGACACCGACTTCTATACCAGCAACTCTGCAGTTAGCTACATCAGCATTAAATAATCAAACCTTGCAAGCGCTAACGAGCAATAATATTCTACAAACACTTCCGGCGACATTACAACAACATCAGCAACAGCAATCTCAAGCAACGCCGCAGCTGCATCAAACTTTGCCTAAAACCGCTGCACAAGTGACATCACAACAAATAATTCGTGCCGCAACACAATTCACTAGCGATGTTGCAACCTCAACAAATGATCAAATAGAAGACTTTGTGCCGAATAATAAAGCTGCAATTAAACCGTTATTAAAACAGGGAGAGCAAAAGGTAATAAAGCAACAAAAATACAGACTATCCCAACAGGCCTCCAATGGTGCTATTGAGATAACGCCAACAACGAATTTCACTCAACAAATCATGCAACAAGTTCAACAACAACAAAAGCAATTCCAGCAACAAAAACAAAAGCATGAAGAGCAACAACATCAAACTCTAAATCAAAAGCAAGATTTGGTGACTTCATTAAGTACATCCCAAAACGTCAACCTCACGGTGCAACGCACGACCAGCAAGTCAACAGTTAAAACCCAGCAACAACAAAAGCCATCGGGACAACAATCAGTGCCAACTGCGTTAATTCAAACAAAAATACCAATGTTGCAGAAAAAAGATGTTACAATCAGTCGAATAAGCAACACAGCGCAAACACAAGAGCAACAACAACAACAGAAACAAGCATTATTAAAACTTTTGCCCACAAAAAAACTGGAAGTAAAATCAAAGGAAGATCAAGTGACTAGTATGATAGTGCAACAACAACCAAACAGTTTACAGTTGCCGACTAAACAGCAGCAGCAGCAGCAACAGCAAACACAACAAATACAAACTCAGACTATTACAACCGTGCAAAAGTTGATACAGAAACCTGATAAATGCAACAAGGCTTTGTCAATGCCTATCCAAAATCAACAACAAATTCAGCGCCCCTTGAGCACTGTTCAAGACATGGTCACAGCGTCCGCTCTACCTCAACAGCAACAGCAACAGCAGCAGCAAGACAGCACGAATACCACTGAAACAATTGAGACAAATCTAAAAACTGATAGTGTTGCTGCTCATGGAGTAGGCCTCAACGGTCTAGAATGTAGTCAGTGTGGGCGAGTGTTCAAGAAGAAAGAACACCTAACTCAACACATAAAGCTGCATGCCGGTCTGCGACCTTTTAAGTGTAAAGAAGAGCAATGCGGCAAAGCATTTAGTCGGAAAGAGCATCTCCTGCGGCATGAAATTTCACATTCTGGTAGAAAACTATTCAGCTGCGATGTTTGTCATAAACCATTTTCTCGTAAAGACAATCTCAATAAGCATAAAAGGTAATTTAAATTGCAAAATGTGTGATGTTTTAAATTGCATGTAAAAAAAAAATGAATTTTTTTTTATCATACAGGATTCACACGACCAGCTTATGTCATAACTGCGAGGCATGTAATAAACAGTTTGCTGTTAGAGCGTATTATGAAGAGCATAAGCAGATGTATCCAAATTCAGAGTGTACCGTTGGTGATAGAAATCAAAAGGTAGTCTTTCAATTTCATCATGTCCTTATAGCATACGCAAGAAATGAAAATAATTTTATCAATTTAAAAAATAGGATGAGAAAACTGCAAATGTTTCAAGCTCCAACGACATCAATATTACTTTGCAAAATTCTAAGGATGTCAATAAACAGCCATCCCAATTGTTACCACATTCGCAACAACATCAAAAACATTTGTCATCACAGCCTCAGCAACCACAATCGCAGTTGATACAAAATCCTCAGCCACAACAGCAATCGCATGTGTCATCACAGTCTCAGCAACCACAACCACAGTTGGTACAACATCCTCAGCCACAACAGCAAACGCAGGTGCCATCACAGCCTCAGCAACCACAACCGCAGTTGCTACAACATTCTCAGCCACAACAGACCCAATTGCTAGCACAGTCTCATCAACAACAAACACAACACCCACATTGTGCATTAACGGCTATTCCGCCGTCTTTAATGTCAACTAATCAACCTCAGTCACACCAAATTCAATTAGTGCAGCATCAGGCGGGTAATACAATTTCACAATTTCAGCAACATCAACACCACATAATGCAACTACAATTACCAACAGTAGTGAGTACACAAGATATGTCTGGCAACACTATCACCATAACTCAATCACACGATCCGACGCTGAAAACAACAATTGGTAGTCATGATACTGCCGTTCTAAATCTACCTTCATCACTGGCCAATCTAATGCAACTTAGTCATGCGCAGTTTGTCAACCCAACTACAGGCCAAATAATGGGTCATATCAAAATTGAAAAATGATTACCAACACAAAACTATTGAAAGGCATATATACCCGTTATTTTTAAGATTTAAAATTGTAAAATATTTTTTCTAAGAACCTACCTACCATCACATACGAAATTCCCACATAAAAATATTTATTAGATGTAATTTATATAGACTTAAATAGAATATTAATGAATTCACATAACCTAATTTCATTTGAGTGAATTAATTTTAACAGACTGTTGGAAACGTTTGTGGAATATTTGAATACTTCAGATTTTTAAAGAATTACTTAGATACATTTTTGATTTGCGCTTTCCTACTATTTATTTTACTTATTAAAGAAAGTCTAAATTTAGTATTACTATGTCAATAACTTAATTTTCATTTCACTAGTCATAGGAATGTCGTATTTATATTAATTAATAATTGCATTTGAAATGCCATTATTTAATTAATAAACATTTTTTAATTTATTTTAGAGTTATTGAAAAAACTTATAATATCAATACTATAAACACATATGTATATTCATAAGTGTAAGCATTTTCCTTACATCAAACAGATTATCACATTGTACATATGTATGTAGGTAATATCATTAGCACTAAAAATACGTTTTGTATATAATAATAAAAAATGAATTGCCATAAAAGAATTTGGATTTTATGAACACACGAAAGAATTTGTAAATCTCATAAATTTAAATAATAAATTGATATTCATAAATACATTTTGTGTATGATTGCAATAATATAATTTTAAATGGAGCAAATTTTGTTTTTATTTTTCATTTTTGTAATTAATTGGCATACATACTGCACATTGGGAACATTTTAGGATGATGGCTTCGAATCACTTTCATTTCGGTTACTGAGGGGGGTTTCATAACATTATTAACATACATGTGTGTGTGTATCTATATTCTTAAACTAATAATTTTCTCCACAATACATTAAAAAAAAATAATGAAAAAATTCATACTGAATTAAATAATTGTGAGTGTGTTACATCCTATGTTTGTTAAAACTTGACTTTGACTTGTGTGTTTTTAATTTGACAAATATCGCTGTCGTACCATCGTTGCCTAAGTGCTTTATTATGTGAAACCCAAAAAACACAATCAGAAAAGCAATGGGAGTGGACTTTAATTTACAATTGTCTCGTCAGTCCGAAGTAACTCCTGCTCCTTAGTGACGCGGGAGCCAAAACGTAAGAGCGCCGACTATTTATTTTATGACAGGAGATATTTTGTCTTCTCCTCGTTCACTACCAGACCCATTCGCTTCAACGCGGTTGCTAAGGCCCACGATATCAATTTCATAGACATACACTAGCAGTTGCTCACTTCTGTAAAATATAGTATTTTATCTATTTAGCACTGTAGATGTTATTATTTTCTCCAGCAACTAGTTGAAAAAATCGAACGACAAAGAGACACCCATTCTGAAACCTCGTTTGGTACCGTGGTGTCCTTCCCAATTCTGGCTACGCTTCTGGTCAGTTTACGTAGTCATATAAATATTACGCTCTTTTACATATTACGCTCGATAGGATCTTTTATGCGACCTTTAGAAGTCTAAGCCCATGATATTTCGAGCAGAACATGGCTGTTTTATAATATGGGCAGAGGGCACTTAGGTTCCAATCGTTGGACGTGCTTTCGTCCGACCAGCTTTTCACAGCCTTGCTTAAATAGCTGAGGCCAGTAAGACATCGGCTCCAGCCGCTTTGTTGTTCTTTGATTAATAGAACGTCATTTTCATCATAATCGATTGCGATTTCGGGTTCGCCATATCTGGGTGTTGCATTTTCACTGCCATTCAGCAAGCCAAATTTACGCTCCTTCATATGGCCGCTGTAGTAAATGTCACAAGAACCTCGCTTCCGTCCTTGTCCCGTTCAATAGGACTTCTTGGAAAGCGGTGATGTCAGCGTTTAGTTTAACCAGGACTTCAATCAACTGATCAGTGGTACCTTCCCAAATAAGGGAGCGCACATTCCAGGTGCATACTCTCAAATCGTAATCCTTAAAACATTTGCGAGGGTCGTCATCGAACGGGTCGTCTCTCATCCGAGGCTTAAAAGGATTTTTCATTAGAGTATATTTTTCATATAATGAGTTCCATACACTTCAAATGGTTACTTGTTTTGAAAATTCAGGTGCTGAAAAATTATATGTACATATTTAGAAAAATTTAAATCTTTTACTTACATTAATATGTCCTGTACTAGTTCTATGGGTCTCTTTTGTTTAAATAAGTCCTTAGAGTTGCCACTCTTCAAACTAGTTTTTTAGTGAAGCGCACTAAGAAATTAAAGTAAGTTAAATTGATTCTTATACAATTGATCAACAAGAGTTCTCTGGAATTCTATATGAAATCATCATCATTTTACCGTAATCGTGTGGTAAGCAAAAATGTGATGATTTGCTGTTGAATTGTTTGTATCACCTCGACTGAAATTTATTAATTCCGCTTGGTGTTTGTTATAATAAAAAAATAAACAATGTTTATTTGCTGTAAACAATTAAAGATTGAAAGCAGACGTTGTACAATATTATTGAAGATTCGTACTCTCGCTTGTGCTGGTGTAGGTATGTATGTACACTTTTCATCATTATAATAAGTTAAGCAGCTGTAATAAATAATCAACTAAGAAAGGAAAGAGAATAATGAAGGGAAGATGGAAAAATGGCTCAGACAACATCATGCCTCGTTAGTCCCTACTCCACTTTGGAACATGAAATCTTGCCCGGAGGCTTAATTAGAATCAAAAGTATTTTAATTTAGGTTTATCTGTTTTATTAGCCACAGTGCAGTGATGGACACTTCTCCCATTACGATTTTTAAGTACGAAATACCATTTTCCTAACGCCATCTAGCGTATCCAATCGCATTCTCGATTCTTTACGAAATACAGACCATTAAAGCCATCTATTGCAGCAATAACGGATGGTTGTTATTTGACCCAAGCAAGGTGATTCGGAATCCGCAATGGCCGAGTGGTTAGGTTAGGTTAAGCTGGCTGAACCAAGGGGTCTCTTATAGACGACATTCAATCATAGCGTTGTCAGGCACACTACGTGCGAACAAGCTGTACTGCTACACTCCCATTGTGTCTCTAGTGTGAAGAGCACTGCTGTTCTTTCTGCGAACTTAAGTAGTAGTTCTGGCCTCTTGACCATTGCCGATCCTGTAGCCCTTCTGCGCGCAGTATGCATAGGCTTTGCCTACCGGATGCCATTCACAGACGACGTGCTCCTCTGTCTCCAAACTTCCTACATTTATTGTCCACAGTCAGACCCACATATAATAAATTAAACTCATGAGACGACAGAGGGCAATGCCCTGTTAGTAGTCGTATTGGCAGCCTGGAGACCTGCCTCTCTACAGATAGTACAATCTTTGTGAGTTTAGACATACAATAGTTTTACACATAGTATTCCCGATTCCGCAGCCATTACCTCTTTTCCAGAGTCTATTCGCCTGACGAAGAAGTATTATTGCTTATTTTTTTAATGAAAGCCGAGAGGTTAGCATTGCATACTACCATTCCGAAAACCAGAATGAGAGTCCTGCTTCGACCAACATCCAAAATTATAGAAACATTTTTTTCTAATTGATGCCATCTATCGGGATGTGGAATGTGGTCCCTGCTGCTTTCGAAAAAAGGTTTAAATATTTACATATGTACATATATATTAGTTCGAACCATAAATAAGATATTTTCGAATATATCGGTCCCTGGTAACCCTTCGAATAGGTCAGTCAGTGAAAAACAAATCTTGACCGATTCTCATACTTATCCGACATGCATAAGAAAATTCATAAAAATAGATTCAGTCGCTTCGGAGGAATTTGGTCACAAACACTATGACTCGAGAGTTTTATTAGATTAGATTAGATAATATCAATATTACGAAATCTTTATCGGGATAACTGTTCGAACGATTTTATTTTTGAACAAAAGAAAGATAAAGAACAATAAGTTCTAACCAGTTAACCATAAAGTTCGTCATGTACCTATGAATATGAAGGCAAGAATTTTATTGTAGGAGTAGTTTTCATAAATAATATTTTTTTAACAGGATTTTCAGGAATATATTGTAGAATAATTTTATTTGTTTATTTTTACAATATATATAGTAATTATGCAATATCTGTTAACATCATGGGAGTCATTCCTTACATAATAAATAAATAAATAAAATACGATTGTTGATTGTTAAATGCATTTAAGTATATAAATAAGTAAATATTGGTAAGAATTTTTGCAACATGCATTATTTGGAACTGGCAAGTTTTAAAATCTGAGCACGGTTACATTATAAAATATTTACACTCATACATATATAATTTAAATGAAATTTCTACACCTTTTTATTTTATAATAAATTTCTATACAGCAAACAATTTTTTAAACAATCTTTGGACATAGGCGCATATACAAATTTCGCAACTCAATTTGGCCATAATTTAAAATTAAAGTTTTGTGGTCAAAAGCAGAATTGTTCAATTACTTGACGATTTGCGATATACTCGATATATTTTATCTAAATTCGCACTGCCCTAAAATATGAGTTCTCGACATCGAAATGTGTAAGTACTTCTGTGCTTGGGTTTAAATGGGTAATATGAACTAGATTAAGTTTTCTCTCACCCTCATTCTCGTCCGGGTAAATTCAGACATTAGATAGCCACCAGATGAGAGAGTTTCAATTCTCGGGATTTGCCGAAATCTGAAATTTCAGTGCCGTGGAAATAGAGTATAAATAAATATTTCTCATTTTAATTCAATATTGGGATGCAGTTTTCTCTGTTAGAATATAAAAATTCCAGAAATTACTGCTTTAGTTAAAATCAAAACAAACTTAATACAAATGAACACAGCAATGGAACAATTTTGCAGTAAAGTTAAAATTTCCCAAATTTTTCTTTACATTGTCTTCCTTATGAAAAGTATTCTACTTGGTGTTGAAACCGTAAGTACTTAGTCTAATTAACAAAGAGTTACACAGTCATGACGTACAATAATATGGATTAGATGTATATGGCTTAAAGTATCTCATTAAAAGCTTTGGAAATATCAACTCCCTGTTTTATAATATAATCAATAATTTATGTTTACTCATATGTTTATTATATTTTGTGTTCACATATAGAGCAAGGTCCAAAGGTTCACAAGGCATTAACGGTTTTTTTTTGTAATTAATGTTACTTATATCTATGGTTTTCACATAAATTTGATCTTTGGTATTTAAAATTGATTTGTATTTCGTTTTTGTGTTTTTAGTTTGTGTTAATTTAATTTCTGTTAATTAAATTATTAAATAAATTACTGGTGTTGTATGCTTAGCACTAACTTAAGGAAAACTTAGCAGCTTAGAAGGCAGCGAGGTGTTAGGCAAGCTTACGTACAAGGTATCTCACGCTTTCTGGAAAATTGCTGAGTGGAGAACAAACAAATTCAAGCGGAAGTTGGTATGCATGCATCCGTACAAACAAGCGTATGCTATGCTTGCTCAATAACTCAAACAAAGTTTGTCGCTTGCCGCTTGCACATGGGCGTTGTGAATAACTTTCGACGAGATTCTTGCAGTGCCAGCAGCTGGTGCCAAGGTGTCAGGCGCTGCGAGTAAGGTTGTGGTAAATAAATTCCAAATATTTATTACTATTGTTTCATTATAATCACCAATGGGACTGCAATTTTCCAACATACTTATGTGTACATATATAACTACTACTAGATTAGATGGAAAAAGCAGATTCGCGAATCAGTAAAGGATAATGAGGTGCGTTTAAATGAAAATTTCTATGTCGTAATTTTTTGCAGGAACTCAAGCTTAAGCAAATTACAAATTATTATTGTTCATACTAACATTTCTTCCAGCTATAGAGGTGTAATAGCCTTTGTTTAACAATGTACATACATACATATATATTTTGGTAAACTCTTAAAGCGCAAAATCGCGTCTAATTATATGAGAATGTTAGCTGAGAGATTTTCTCCACATCGCCCCACACTTGAACGGACTCAATACATTGAAAATCACTTTTAGGTTGATATTGGGAAACATAATTTGGGCCATCTTCACCGATCAAGTACACACAGATGTCATCTTGTAAGAATGAAAATTCTAGGGTAAATTCCGGCCCTAAAAGAAAATACGAATTACAATTTATAGAAGCGTCAGCTGTATTCGCCAATGATTTAGCGCCCAGAAAGTCGCTGTTTATGTTATCATTAAAAGCTTTATTAGAATGCATTAGACTATTCTTTAACCGACCATTGAATGCATCGAGTTTTGTATCTATGCGGTCCATCCAGTTGCTATCCTCTTTGTAGTCCTCGACTATCGTTTTATTAGCAAGATCCCATTTGAAATGGTAAGCGATTGATTGTGGATCTTCGTTGACTTCGTTCGCAAAGTTGATAGAAAACCTGAAATGTAGAAGGAAAGCTCGGTTTAATGTCTGTAGATAAGTGAATACAATATTTCAATAATGGTAACACAAGGAACATGCACCAATTAAAAATATTTAGTTATTAATCAAATATAAACGCATTTGTAACTAGATAAATAACGATTTTTATAACGATTCATCAAGTCGTTAATTCATGTATTGCTTATACTGATTTAATATGTATGTATGTCAAAAAATAGAAGTGTTTTATTTAAAAATTATATCCAAGTCTCAGTTCACTCTTCTAGTCTAAAAAAATCCAAATTCCAGGTCGGTATTAAACGAAATTTTGAAGAACTATTAAAAAATAAATATTAAAAAGCCCATCAACTCTCTGAGTCTTCCAGTTCTTCTCCTGGAACTTTACACATACTAGACTACCTTTCATGAAAGTTATAAAAGCAAATGTCAATAACAGGCAGGCACACGGTGATTGAAGCGCACGTGTCAAGCTAAATGGCGTTGGATAGCGGGAGAAATGTTGATCATTTAACTCAGCACATTAGTCAACAGGTGAAAATCTGAATATAGGCTTATGGTCCCAATACTGTAACAGTCAATTATACACAATTTTGGTTTCGGCGATTCCGTGTCGGTAATTCCGATGTATCATAAAATATCCTTCCCGGTGTGGAAGGACAATTGACGATTACCAGTAGCATTGCACAAAAAATAGTTTTGAAAAACTTGAAAATACCCGAAGAAGAAAAAAAAACCTTATGGACCGCATTACCAGCTGTGCATTGCTGGTGAATGGTAACAAAATTAGCCCATTTCCGAAACGGATTGTTACTGGTGATGAAAGGTGGAACACTTATAGCAGCGTCAAATGTAAACGGTTATGATCGAAGACAGCAAGCCGGCGCAGACGGTCTTCGCAGCGAGAAGGATTTGGTTTTATTTGCCCATCTGAGGGGAGGCAATTGTCCAAAAGCGCCCAGCTTTGGCCAACAGGAGAGGATTTGTGCTTCAGCACGACAACGACAGATCACACACATCGATAGTGACTCGTCGGAAGCTCAGAGAGTTTGGTTCGGAGTCTGGTATGCATCCACTTTATTGTCCAGACCTCGTATCAATGATTACCATCTGTTCCTGTCGAATGATTGTGCTGGTGAAGAATTGGCCTCAAGAGAAGTCTGGGAGAATCCATAATCCCAAAAGGGACAAACTAGCAAAAAGTTTTCAAACAAAATGTATAATTTTGACTATGGTAAACAAAGATTTCAATTCAATACAAAAATAATGGATGACTTTCTACTTTACCAATACAAGTGGGTACTTAGGTATGTATGCAAGTATATGTACATATATATTGTGACTATATAGCACAGACATATGCATGTATGTACGATGTATGTATGTAAGTTTTGGAAATTCTAAAAAAAAGTTAAAAACCAATTATTATAACTAAATACAATTTATGAATTTGTAAATAATAATTTTCGTTCAAGTACTCCATTTCAACAAAATTTTTGCGTTTAAGTACCAAATGAGCAATTATTCGTGCCACAATACAATTTTTTGCAAATTGCAATAAAGTTTCCGATTCGTTTTGGTTTTGGCACATATTCGGGTTCATAATCTAAATTATGTTCAAGTCAGAAGTTTTCGGTGGTTATGTTTTGTATTGCAACGAACGTGTAGACATAATAAACAATCAAAGCTTTTTTTTCGATACCGGCGGTAGAAGGAAACAAAATCTAAGCGAATCTATTGGTGTTTTAGGCCTATGACATCATTCCAACTTAATCTACCAAACACTCACCAATGGTGTGCTCATGACCTATTTTGTTTAAACTTAGTAATTGTTTCTTCACACTCAATGAGATCACAGCGGCGGCTTCAAGTGCCACAAATTTCGGGTAGCTAAGTCATCACAAAGATTTTGATGATTCGTGGAATCGCTTACTTGTATTTATATGAGTACACATGCTTATTTATGTTGAACGAATGAGGAAATATTTAGGCAAAGGCACTAAGGCATTTTGGCTGTTGAGTTTTGATCAAAAATATATAATTGATTTATGTGTTTTTTTTTTAGGTGAATACGAGATGATGAATCACAAGGGAGGCAAACCAAGTCAATGTCAAGAGTACTCAGTTGTTATTCTCCACTTTTCTTATCAAAATGGTTTGTAATAATTGCACGACGGACCATGATTGTGAATTTTTATCAGCAAACAAATGTCGCATGGGGAAAGGTGGTGGAAAGTCTGATGTTACGGTGAGAAAGTTTTATTATTTGGCAGAGTATAAACTTTTTCACATTATATAATTTTCATATATCGTATTTCAAGAAAGAGAGAATTTTTTATATTCACAAAGTTAACATACATATGTAAGTAAGTAACGGTTTTTCCTCACAAGAGTATATCAAGATGGTGTATACCATATGAATAACTAGTTTTATAACTATTTGAATTATTTTAAAAATATTGTAAGATGTGAAGAGAATACAATGTTTTTTTTAATCCACCGGGAGCCGAGGATCGTGGATTTAAATCACGACCAAATCGCAAACTTCAGTATCTTACCATCAATAATATATAATATGGACATACATGTGTAATAGTTTTTATTAATGTTTTTTAATTACATTGACTTTTAGTCACACCGCATGAGATAAAATATCATAGCAAGTATAAAAAAAATTTTGAATGAGAAACGTGAAAATATGTGAGTACAAATATATGTACGTGTATGTGTGTTTATTTTACATTAGTTATTTTATAAAATTAATTGAAAAGTATTTTTTGTGAAAATATATATGTATGTGTATGTATTGCATATTTTCACTACCTATACATATGTATACACTTAGCCAAGATGTTAGCAATGCGTACTACCATTCGAAATGTTAAGGTTTGAGCCTTCTTTCGGCCAACATTCAAAAATTGAAAAATATGAATTTAAATAAAAGTTAAGTTAATTTTTCAGTACTGTAGCTGAAATGTTTGGATATATATGTATTGCAATATATTTTGACCAGGGACTAAAAATAGCTGCTACGCATTAAATTCAATGCCTGCGTTCTAACAGTTATTATTATTGGCCTTCTGCGGTATGTTACTAGGAAAGTGATTTATATTAAAAGGAAAATTGTGTGTAAAATACTTCTGGGAATAAATCTTACAAGATAAATTTTAGTTTTTATTTGGTATATGGCGCGGTTTGTTGGGTCTCCGGTTCTGTCGAACCATTGGAACGCAGTTGCTAAGGTAATTTATTATAATATATATGTAATTCGTTATACGTTACTTACTCCTCTGCATTGTCAGTAATTTTTCCACTAATTTTAATTTTATCCCCCGCCTGTGTAGGCTGAGGCAGAATTGCAATAAATTTTGTTGAAGTCATATTGAATTTGTTTATTGCGCTTGCGATTATTAACTGATTATAATAGCTGATTATTTATATTATTTTATAGTTACAAATATTTAATTCAATTTTCACTTATTATTGCGTTATTATTCACCTCTTTTAACGTTCGTTAAACGGATAGTAAATTACAAGTACTGTATAGACCAATTTAATTTTGTTGTGGTCTTTGCTTCGTTGCTAAGTATAATAAATATGACAATTAATGACGTTCACTATTTGGCACACTCGCAAATATATTTTTTTAACTCGGACGCTGATGAACCGTTTTCACAACATTAGAATTCCGGCACTCAAACGCTTGGTGTACTTGTGTACGTGTGTAAATTGACTATTCTCTCTGGCATGCAAATGAATACTGAAAAGCTTCGCTGGGAACCGGCTTTTAAAAAATTAATTTTTTGTTTATTTTACTAATACTAAAACAATCTGTCGTTACGTCACAGTGAAACCAAATGACTCTACGGTATCGCTGCTTCTCGTGTGCTCAAGAATCCGCCTTCGCTGTTTTCCCCAAAACTCGTGCAATGTTTCTGCTTAGTAGCAGAATTTCATTTCGTTACAGTCGCACCGAACCGATAAGTTCCAATTTAGTTAAGATACTGAAAAGCCGAATTCAGTTGGCGAAAGTGGAAAGCCCGAGCCACATAGATTTTGCACAGTAGTTGAAATACGTATGCATACTATTGCTCTTGATACTCCACGAACAGATGGTCAAGTGAAGAAATGCGACTGATTCAAAAGGTGAGGTTTTTAAAATTTTGAAAAATATACATATGTATATGAATGTACAACACATACGAAAAATGGAAATAAGCAAAACCTTCAGAGATCCTTAGCTTGGAGTAAGTGTGCTAAAATTTAAACAACGCAATATTTTTGGCTTTGATTCTGTTGCATATTGTAAAAATGACTACAAAACAAGTTAAATAAGAAATGTTCTGCTGGAGAATGTCTTTCAAGGGTATCATTTGTTGTAGCTGCTGAACTCTCTCTCCATCACTCTCTTCTGTTAACATATTAATTAAAAGTTGAGGAAGTCATTTAAGCTTTATATTGGATTTTTTAATTTTGCATATATGTAAATGTATGTGTGTCTATATATCCATTAAAGACCTGACCTATGGCAAGAATTGCATATTTTGTGAGTATGGCGGTATATTAAATACATATGTACATACATACATGCATAAATATCTTAGTCGTTAGTTTCTCCATTACCTTGAAATTCTTGTATATTTCTATTTTTTTTTTAATTGAACAGAATCTAAATATAGTTATAATCCTTAAGATGTGAGTGGCAGCAAAAATACGCCGGATATTGTAATTCGTCATCTATGACTATTTTCAACAAAAACAAAAATATTATTTGGTGAGATAAGTTTAACAAGTGGCCTTAAATAATACAGTAGTTCATTTTAATCGGAATGATAAGTTTTAATAAATATTATTTTGTTGTTAGCATTATGTACCACCATGCGGATGGGCATGGGGCAAAAACATTTTTTTTTAATATCGCCATACTGTCCGTGCATTGTAATTAGCTTCACTTGTATTCTATTAACCGGATATTATTAAAATCACACTATCTGACGCATTTCTAGGAATAACAACTGATATCTCTTCATTTAAAAATCAACCTTCTAAAAAATTAGTTGATATTTTTTTTAATAAAAAAATATTTGTGCTCTCCGGTTACTGGCACACTTACCCTACGTACTTGTTCTTATGTACATATGTGTATATGTTCAGTACCGTTAGTACTCTAGCTGAAAACAGGAAATTAGAATTATTTCTAATAAAAATCATAGTCATTTATTCAAAACAATATTTTGATGATTTATTTTATAAGTTAAATAATTTGAGGGAAAAAGCTTAAAGCGACAATATCGCATGTCATGGGTGAAAATGCGTGCGATTGTTCATTACCTTTGCCAGTTTAGTATATCGCGAAAAATATCAGTTTCCTTTGACGTTGCGGAAACGGAACCCGAACAAACCCTGAGATTGGACCTTCAATTCTTTCTTTCTGAAAAAGCCAATTTACGAGACCGTCATGCCGCTTCTTATTTATATACGTTCTTTGGTAGGTCACGGTAGACTTACACAACAACTTTGTGCGACATCTAACGGTAGATGTCAATTTGACATAAAAAAAATATTTTGACGGATCTGGCAGCAACGTGACGCCTAACCTTCCTTTTTACATTAATTTCATTGCGGTGTACACGTGTTTTCCAAAATGGCACCCGTCGAAAATGCTAAAAAATCCGCGAAAACGGGCAAAAAGAATCATAAGCACCCCGTAAATAGATATCTGAGCGGGGGAATATTACGTTACTCCAAGAGCCAGGTAAAAATTGTGATAATGTGTTGTGAATAATAAAAGCAGAAATTATGTTTCCATCCTTTGAAAGGGGGATATATGAAATGTGCACCTTGGCCATCAGCATTTCTGTTTCTGATTGGTTTACTGCTTTTAGTAATCATAATTTTCCTATTAGTATGAAAAGTACATGGAATTGTGTTTTTAACAAATAATGTAGATAGTTTATAAGACGTCAATGTGGTTAGTGATGTTCTAGTGGCATGTACAATTTGTGAATGTAACATTTTGTAAACAGTTTAAAATAGATTATAGTAATTTACGCATCTTTTATTACAGATGTACAAACGTCGCGCTCTCTATCGTTTGAAGAAAGTAAAGCAACCAGTTGTTCCCAAAACTAAGCAACCCATCTCAAAGGTGAAGAAGATCAATGGACCGAAAAATGGTGGTGAACGTACCGTTTTCTTGAAGAAACCAAAGGCTAACTATCCAACCAAACGTTTCGTGAAGAAGCGTCCGGCTAAAGCTTTCTTCAGTAATCACAAGCGCAACATTCGCCGCAATCTCACTCCTGGTCGTGTGTTGATTTTGTTGGCTGGTCGCCACCAGGGCAAACGTGTTGTACTATTGAAGGTGTTGAGCTCTGGACTTTTGTTGGTTACTGGTCCATTTGCATTGAACTCGTGCCCTCTGCGTCGCATCTCGCAACGGTTCGTTATCGGTACCTCCTCCAAGGTTGATTTGGCTGATTTGAAAGTGCCAGAACACTTAAATGACGCTTACTTCCGCCGCTTGAAAATCAAGAAGGATAAAAAATCTGGTGAGGGAGATATCTTTGCCGTTAAGAAGGAGCGTTTCGTTCCAAACGAACAGCGCAAGAAGGATCAAAAGGAAGTTGATGCTGCTGTGTTGAAGGCTATCAAGGCACATCCTGAAGGCAAATTCTTCAAGAAATATCTGCAAAACATGTTTGCTTTGCATTCATCACAATACCCACACCGTTTGCGGTTCTAAAAATATCGCTTTAGGGTAGAGTGTGAATGTTTGCATACATTCAGGTTTTCTATAGGATTTCCGCTTTTTTAATTTTTATGTCAATACAAACTTAAAGATAAAAATACACAATTATAAAAATTGGACATCGAAGTGTTTTGCAATGCATTGAAATTCGGATTGAATTCTCGGGAGGATTCATGAAATAAGGGAATGAAAAATATCCATCTGTTCTCATGAGACGATTAAGGAATAAAGGGTCCTTTAATGAATTGAGTATACAAACACAGTTCAGATTAATACGAGAACTTAACAATCGAATCCCAAGTAAATTTGAGAAGCGATGAATTTTTCCTCTCAAACCTAAAAATATACAATAGGGCGTAAGAAGAACAAGACATAAACAAATGCAAATGTGAAATTGAAATGAGCAATCCAACCATCTGCTGCTGGCAATTAGATTAAACTTTCCATCTCAACCAAAAAATTTATAAAACACATTTTAATTTTGTTACCCGTTTATTAGTTTCTAATAATTTCAATATCTTTTCCCTTTATTTTACATGAAAAATACCCGACATAAATGAGTAAAAATAATAGGGTCTATCTAAAGTAAGCCAATCAATATACGGCAGCAATATACATACATATGTTTGTGTATGTATATATGAACATATACTTTTTACTTACGATAAAAGCTACTATTTGTAAAGCTAGCTTCAAATTTCAAAAAACAAATTAATGAATTTTTAAATAATATCATCATTAAAGAGATTTTGTCGGCTGCGGACATGCGGTCTACTCCAAGTCGAGTGCATATTTAAACTTGCGCCTTCCTTGGATATACCACATAGTCTCATGGTAGGATCTTGGCAATATCTGATGTACATGCTCATTTGCTTTATAAGTGCTATAAAATAAATTAGTAGTAACTTGACCCCCAGTAGTGTCCAAAACATCGGCAACTGTCATTATTTGCACATAATTCAATTCCGTATATACAACGTAAGAGGTCAGTTTTATAAAAGACGAAACTGGGACTGGCTTTTCAAAGCTAATATCACAAATATGAGTTAATTTTGGTCGTTTACCGCAGTATAAAAAAGCAGACGTCCAGCTGTTCTCTAAAGCTAAACGCATCAAAAATCCTCCAAAGACGGTATTGTGAGCATTGCGATTGTCGGGGAACGATGGTATTGTTGTTACTGTACTCCACTCTGACATCCAACGAGCATGAGGTGGGAGCAAACGTTTGTTCAGTTCCATTGTGTTGGTGGGCGTTGTTTTCTTATATATATCATACATTAAGCTTTGTTCGAAATCGTTAGGTTCTACTTTAAAAATAGACTGAGCTTGAATTAACTGTCTTCGCTTCTTACGCGCCTCGCCACCAGAAAGTATTAGTTTCTCTTCCTCCGTAGCTGGTACGATGGGATTGACCGGAGCAGCGCCAGTATTGGTAGCGTTGCGTGCAGCCATAAGAAATAATGCGCGTGTAATTTTTTTATACACACCTTGATACTTTTGTTCCAGCCAAACCACAATTTCCATTGAACTTCGACCTACCCAAGAGACATGACCGGAAATTCGTATATCTTCCTTAACATTAGTAACCAAGTCACTAAAAGTGATTTTATCAACCAATATGGTTACGAAAGTATATGGCAAATTAACATTTTCGGGAAGGTTGGGCACATTCACATGTTGATGGCAAACCCATACTAAAAAAAGAAAAGTTGTAGTTATTAGCAAGCAAATGGGGAATATTTCATAATCAAAAGGCTTTTGAGATTCAGTTCTTTTTTAATCTTTCTAAACATATTTTACACAAATCAAGTTTTGGTTTGGTAAAATACCTGCAAATGCATCCAAATCCTCCATTAGACGGCCCATGCGCACGTTTCCCAAATGTGAGACGTAGTTGTCTTGAAGTTGCAAATCAGTGCTAAGTGGAAGCAATGCCGATGTGTAAGAATCTTGCATAGAACGTGCGGGTAAATCTTCTGGTTTCGGAGTAAACTTTAACAAATGTTCCCGACTTTTTGGTATAGGATGATAGCCTCTTTCTAGACCCAAATGCAGTATTATTTCACTTTTCACTGTAATAGAGACATACATACATAATATATACGTAATATTGACATACAAGATGATATATGTAGGTTCCGGAAAATATTTTGCTAATAGATTAAAATTGATTGCAGATTAACCTTGATCCATTGTATACTTTGGAGTTGATTCACCGTGCCCTCTTAAAGTTGTCGCGAAATTCGCCGAGCTAAAATAATCAAGTTCAAAATAATCTTGAGTAAAAGTTCCGATTTTTTTTCAAATTTATGTTTGTATGTTTAAAAACATGTGTATATGTATGTAGTTTTCCAAATACTTACATCAGAGCAGGTCTGGATGATAGTTGTTGGCGTAACAAACGCGTACTTAGTTGCAGAGTCCGAATCATTTCCTGTTACGAAGTGATGTGAATAGAAATAATGTAATTGGAGTTTTTTCTTGTTTTATTGGTTTAGAGTTACTTCATTGCTTGAAAAGAGTTTTCAAGGTTGGAAGATAATTGGAGTTTGCCTTGTAAAATGTTTAGGTATATTATTTACTATTTACGCTGCGTCTGCCTGAATTTTGGCAAATCGATTATTCTATCATATGCTAATTTGTATGTGGTTTGGCATATACAGTCGTGGCTATTTATTTCCATGCACAGTATAGTAGGTCTCTATAGTGATTATTTCATATTAAACAAATGTAGTAGTTTTTGGAAATCGATTTAGATCTTATTATTAAAGTTTATGCCCCTTTGTTTAGAAAACATCCGGTATGCACGTCACATATAAAATAGTACGTCTTTACTTACTCTACCACTATTTAATACGTACTTACGTGGAAAGTTTGAAGAACCGAGGACTTAATATTTCGCCATCTGTGCACAATTTCCTTAAAAATTTTGTTTGCAACTTAATCGGAACTCTACTAGGATACCTCCGAAAGTCAAAAATTACAATGTTATTCCAATCTAGTCCAAATAAAAAAAAATATTTTTAAACTTAAAACTTTAAATCCTGACTTAAAAACGTTTATTTATTATAGCCAATAATTATAGATTTATATAGAGAGCCAACGAGTTTTTGTTTTGTTTAAGTATTCGCGTTACGAATTCAAAATACACATTTTTTAAGAAAGAGCAAAATCAATATTTTTATTTGAATATCAATGTATCTTTACATTTAGTTAATTGAACTATGAATATTCCTGAATTAAAAAAAATAAAATAAAAAATAAACGAAATAAAATTTATTTCAGTTTCAGATTAATCTACAAAAATCTGCTGTGCTAAAAGAATAAACGAGATAAAGAAAAAAATTAAAGACTTTAGCACTTTGCAGAATAACTATAACAGGAGCGCAAGAAGGGCCATGGCTGCAACTAGAGCCCTACTTTAATATACATTCATATTTTTTTAAAGTTAAGAGAGAAACCTGTTTGGAACCATTTGCCTAACCTTGGATTCAAAAAGAAGCTCGGTGCTCGGTGACCAAGACCGGATTGACGGCAAGGAAAGTTTTGCTGTGTGTTTGGTGGGATTGGCTAGGAATCATCTACAATGAGCTGATCCCCATTTGGCCAAACTCCCAATTCGGCCCTCTTGAAGGCAGCACTCGGGAGGGGTATAATGAAGTTGGCATCTCTTTGACAACAAGTTTACGAACGCATATTTGACTTAAATCGGATAAATGTACACAAAGTTCTCATATTTTGAAAAATCAATAAAAAACCGAATGAACTATTAGTGAACCGCTAGCTATTTTGATTCGACAGTACTTCCGTTCGGGCAGGTATATCTAGCCAGTTATGAAATTGAGAGAGTTGATACTTTCCTCTCTCAAAGGGAGAAATTCATTGAGTGTTCACAGAACAAGATTTAGTAAAAATTAACCAGCAAGTTGTATAACAGCTTTTTTTGGCGTTTGCATTTGAATCCGTTCATTTATGCAGTTCCTTGTCAACCTTTAATTAAAATCCATCTCCCGACCATCCGCACGAGGTCTGTAGTCGGCCTCCGCATGACGAACGGAACCTTTTTCTATTTCTTTATTGGTACCGATAAGCAAGAGTTTGTTTAATGTCGAGAATTTAAACTGTTCAGCTACAGAACAAAAATTCATCAGATGATTTTAAATGTAACTACAAATGAGAATCAAAGTTGAAATCTACTAAGAAACAATACCAAGGCTCGTGAAATTCAAAATTCGTTTAAGAAGCAAGTCTAAAAATATTTGGACACTCTAAACACAGCATGGCATAGAGGAAACTCCTTATTGTGTTACTTGTCAGTAACGGCTTTAAAATCTATGAAATGGTGGATGTTTTCCAAGATTTGACGTATGATGAATATCTGGTCAATGGTGAATTTATCAGGTTTAAAGCCACAGCGGTAAGATCCAATCAGTTTGTTAATGTGCGCTTTTGTTCTTTCAACAATATGCTCAATAGACCTTACATTCGATACTTACTTATGCTAATCCCACTGTAATCGGAGCAGGCATTAATCAATAGTTTATTTTTGTGTCCTTGATTTGTAGTTTAGATCATTTTTACATGGTCATTCGTTGCTGTTAAAAAAGAGTATACTAACCGACAATATGCAGGGTTGTAAAGTATCAGATTTTAATAAAAGTTGAAGGAGAGCACCTAAAGAGAGTATACTCGTAAGAAGAACGATCTTTAGTTAATTGAGGTTCTAATTGTTTAAGCCGTTTTTCTTTATTTCCTAAAACAATCATGTACACATTTTGTTATCACAATTAATAAATGATTAAAATTTCCTTTGATTACTTACTTACATATCTTTTTAATGAACAACATCTTTTAGCTGGTAAACTCTACGTGTATAATTGGCAAACTACATGAGTGGGTATGCATGTAGACCTATCTTACGTATATTAGTTTTAATAGAATTTGCTAATGCAAAATGCCTGGAAATCAAAAGCGTATTAAGTGCTACAAAAAAAAAAAAACAAATGGAAAATTACCCAATTAATTTTTTTAACATTACAATTACCTAAATAAATACATACATATGTCACATCAAGCTTATAGTTAACTAACTTAAACGCTTGTTATCTAATTATCATTTATTCTGACACGTTTATGTATGCATACGAGTACATACAGACATTTTCGTAGCTTAATGAAGCTAATTTATTTGAATAAAATTTTCTAATTGCGCCCATCGAACATCACAACGGTGTACATTCTTGACTTAATTTTATTTACATACATATTTTGTGTGTGATTATTTCTTTCTACTTATGTAATACATATTTATTATCTACCGAGTTCAGTTAAAATCATGAAACATACATATGTACTTCACAAGTCGTAGAGAGTAGAGAGTGACGTTATGTCTTTAGAGATATTCGTAAAATATTACCCAGTAAATACCATTCAGGCTGGCAAAGAGCGCTGGAAAAAGAACTCTTGAGGTCCGATCGATATAAATGGCTCTCTTCAGACGTTCTTGCTGTGGTGTGAGCTTTGGCTTCGGTGGCTCCGGTTCTGGTGGAGGTGGAGGCGGTGGTGGGGCAATGGTTGGCGTTAGTATGATGCGCGACTCTTGGCGTGGTATCCAAGGACCGTCAGCGTCGAGTGGTGGACGCACAACACGGCGTGAGTGCACAACCTAGAAGAAAGGAAACTTAATATTTTTGGCATAAACTGACATACATATGTATGTATCATATTAATGCGAAAGAATTTTTATCATAACTTGACATAAATCCAATGAATTCTCCAATAAATCTGCATATGAAATAAGACTTACTCTTCGATTTTTGGTCATCTCATCGAATATCTTTTCAATCTTCTCAATCTTTTCGTCCGGCACTACTTTGGCTGGTGTAGCCGCAGGCGCTGGTGTAGGAGCAGGCGGCTTTTCTGGTTCCTTTTTCGCGCCCTCCGGCACCGGTTTCGGCGGATAAGCTATAGGTTTTGGTATAGGCGTGTCGCTTAACACAATATTAATCAAGCAATACTCCATTAAAGCCATAAAAACGAAAACCGTACACACGGACATGAAAGCATCGACCGCCTTTAAATAGGAAACCGGCGGTAGAGATGATTGCGACTTTGCATGCTGTGTAGACAAGGTGAGCAGAGAGGTGACACCGAGGGTGACTCGCGCTGGCGCCGCTTCTGGTTTGATCCAAAACGAAACCCACGACATTATGACAATCATACATGTCGGTATATATGTGTTGAAGACATAATAGACCAACCGGCGTTTGAGTGTGAAAACAACTTCGAGGCAGGTGAAATTTCCAGTTGAATATACTTGAGTGCAATCTGTGGGAGTATATGAAACTGAAAATAGTGGATTGAAATTTTGGCAAACTTGTGTGTTTACCTGCGGTTTCATTGCGTATCAGCGCCACTTGCGGCAGTTCAATATTTTCATCAACCACTAACGGTGTTGTGGGATCCCATTGAAAAATCATGTCGTCTGTGGTATGTGACACTGTTTTGAAATTAATTTACAATTAAAAAAGAAATTCAAAAATGTTTTTGTTTTCTCCTTTAGTTCTTTAACTTACAACTTTCCATTTGAAGCTTACATTCCTGTGTATCATGAGGATAAATGGCAAAGTTCATAATGCACGACAATTTTAGTGTTAATTTCACCATATAGAGTATGGTCTTGTCTTTGTATAGCCACATGTAGTGATTAGGAATTGTCATTGTTTGGAAAGTAACGGATTTGGCATTCTTAAAGAAAGAATCTGGTCGCCACATATTCTTTAACCAATCGACCTCGAGCAGTATATACTCCTGCGTCATGTTTTCGGGTAGTCGCAACCGATGATCTTTCCATGTTTGCGCAAAAAACACGTCCGCAACATAGGTCATCGAATTCTCGTCAATCGAATCTAGACCCATTACGGTTACGTGAAAATAAACAATTGTTGGTTGTCCATCTTTTTTGGGTGGCCGCATTTTATCATATCTTTTTATGTCCTCGGGCAAAATATCCGTTATCGCTAAACTTTGCCTTTTGGGTGTGAAAAAAGCCAAAAAAAGTTATTATATTTTATCAATTTGCGGGTGGAAGTAAAAAACGCTTACTGATATTCGCCCGTTGTGAATTTCTCCAAACATATTGAAAATATTACCAACAGGAAAATTTGATATTCCATTACTGCAAAGAAAAAGCGCAAACATATATTACATGTATGTATGGATGTATGTATGTATGTATGTATTTACAAATTAAGTATGCATCTGTTTTAAAATACTATTAGGACAAGAATTAGGCTCGATTCTCTGTTATTCTGAGAACAAATACGGTCGTTAATAATCGAAAATCGCTTTATTCTTTTTCTTCAAAATATTCTCCCTTAAGTTGTAGATACTTTTTAATGCGTTTCAACTAGTTTTATGAAGCACTTTTGCCAATTTGATTGAGTTATCTCCAAGGCATGCGTTCTGAACGATCCAACTGCCTCAGCAGTTGTCAAGAACGTTGAGCTTTCAGTTCATTTTTTACTTACGGGAATAAAAATGAGTCATTCTGTCTGAAGTCAGGACTATATGGTGGAAGAGTTATCAAATCGTTGTTTTGAGTGCTCAGAACTGCTGTAGCTGTTTCAGTCGATGTCTGAATACTTTCGTTGGGTGACGAGTGATCGGTTTTCAGCCGGAGGTTTTCTAATTTCTTGAGAGCATTTGGCAAACAAATGGTTGTGTACTACTCATAATTCGCGGTTCTGCGTTGTACGGTTGCGACATATGCAGTTTTCCAAAAATCAGCGAAACATTTGCTTGTAAGGGCTTCGTGCGCAATTCTTCACCTTATTTTCGTACCGTATTTTTTTTATCATTTCCCGAGCCCTTTTTTGAGCGATGGACACAGGTATATACTAAAATGATAAAAATTACTGATGCTGATATGGTCTGGATGTGACGACCTGTCTATTTGAATAAAAAGTTTGTGATTTGTTCATCGAATTGAAGTATTGAAGGTTTCAAGAATGTCAAAACCGATTAATTATTAAAAAACTGCGTGCTTTGAAATTTATTTACTGAAGCGTCATTTTGTATGGAATGCCGTTTTGATACTATTTCAGTTTCTACATAAAATTCGTATTTTTAAAAATTTATTTGAATCCATTACATCATCGCTTTAAAATTAAATTCGTTCCGGCGAAATTTATAAAGAATTTGACTTTGTTTTTGAGCGCTAGTATCGCAAATGGCAAGCTTACCCAATAGGAAAGCTGGACTGAAGATGACCGAAAAAGGTTAACGGTGTCACTGAGATGAACCTTTGGAAAGGAAGCAAAAACCTAATGCCACCAGTAAATACCTAAGCACGGTTGACACTGCACAGTGTACAGTTCCTGGGTCTGCTGATTCAACTAATGCACTTTTGTCACTACATCATAATGTTCCAAGATACATTATTTCTCACGGCATATCTTCGTCTTAACTGAAAAATATTATATCCGTCCTTGATCCGGAAAAGTCTCTTGGTTTGCAAAGCCTTTCAGTGCCATACGAGTATAAAGGTATAATTCACAATTATGATAGCTGAGCTAAACAAAGACACAAGACTGCCGTCATTATGTGGACCAATCGGCTGTTGCCTTGTCTTTCAAAACTTTTAGTAAAAGTGATGTTACGAAAAGTTTCTCCTTTTATCCATTAAATAATTTAATCTTTGTGCACTAATTTGGCTTCGGCTAATAACATGGGATTATTCAATTATCTTATAAAATAAATCGTATAAATGAATGGGATCCAATTATGAGCGACAAATATATACGTAGTATAGCGATTTCAATACAAATCTCTGTAGCAAGTAAAATTTACTTAAAGAGAAAAGTTAAATCAGCCTTTTTAAGAGCTAGAAGTAAAATTTGGAGCTGAAGCTATGCACATTCACCACATTTAAGATTTCTGCGGGACGATCTTGGCTTGCGGGCTTACAAAATCCAACTCGTGCAAGAATTGAAGCAAAACGTCCCGATTTTTACAAGAATATTTTGTTCGGCGATGAAGCTCTCTTTTGTTTAAATGAGGTACGTTAATAAGTAATATTGTCCGGAGAGAATCATTGGTAGATATTTCTTCAAAAATTCGACCGACCATAATGTCACAGTCATTGGATAACACTATAGTGCCATGATTAGTGAATTTTTCTTACATATCCGTTAATTATAATAAAGCTAAAATACCCCTATTAATAAAAATTTCTAATAATTTGTATGAGTTCTAAGGTAAACTAAAACAATTTGAAAACAAAAACAAAAAAGGCAAAATTGAAAATACCTCGAAATTCTTTAATTTTCTGAAGGCTTGCCTTTCTAAATTGTCTTTGAATTTTTATGAAGGTTGGAATCGAATCTCTGAGTTAAGATCATTTATTTTTCACTAAATTAAAAGTTGGTCCGAACGACCAAAATTTAAATAAAAGAGAAATTTATAAAACATTTAATGCAAGAGTTCTATGTCGAATCCGATCATGCTTGTACCAAATCGAGAATCAGATGACAGACATAGATTTTATAAATGCTTTTGTCATCATTGAGTGCGAGAATTTAAACATTTTAATTCAATTTAAGTATCTAAGAATTAATTTGAATGGCTGTAAAAAACTTTTGTCCGGATTAAGAAAAATGATGCCTCTAGATGATAGGTTTAGCCAGTTATACCATCGTTACGTAGCAGAAGATGAATTTTTGGACAAGGAGTTTGGAGCAGGGGCTTTTCTCCCTTAAGGAGGGGCTTTCAACAGAGCTTTCCCGAACCAAAGATGGATTGGATGAGTTTCTGGTTGGTTTCCATTTGTTTCTTTAATCATTAGTAGAATGCAAAAGGATTTTCCGTAAATTGTTTTCGTCCTTCATACACTTTACATCAAATTTTGAAATCTACATAAGGGAGTACAAAATAATCTGCACATCTCATTATTGTTTACGTTTACGTTTACTTTATATTTATTTATTTTATAAATCATTTTTTTTTTCTTAAACTTAGGCCCACATACTCGTACATAATTCTTCCTTCCCTAAGTGTCATATTAATTTCTACATATAATATACATACATATGTGTAGAAAAAGTATTCCATTGCCAAGGTTAATTAAACCACAAAAAAAAAAAAAAAAATAAAAAACAAGGAGAATCGAAGTGTGGGATTCAACGTGGAAACATTGTCTAAGTCGGCGACAATAATTTTTAAAATCTTATCAACAATTGTCACTGGCAATGGCAATCGAAATCGAAATGGGAAATAACAAAATTTCCATTAACAATGCGAAATTACCTTGATGGCTGCGTAACGCCAAGGATCGCTCGACACACGTCCAAAAATAGTGCCAACAACATGGGAAATCATTCCATATGTATTGTGAAGCTATAAATCATAAGCATGCCATTTCACATATGTGTACCTTTATACTCACATACATACGAGTACATACAGTAGATTCATATGAATTCAGCTTGTGCATAACTATGTTTAAATATCAAATATTGAGCGAAATATGGAAATAAATGGGAAAATAAAAGTAAATAAATATAAAAAATCAACTGCGCGTGTTTCCTTTACCGCCAAACGCTGAGGGGCTGCAAGGTTTGCACTAGACCTTCTTGCACCGATGCGGCAGTCACAATAGCGACTTAATTCACAATTAAAACCACTTGACTGAAGGGCCACCACAAGTATCTGTATGCGCGTCTAACCCAAGATGGGTGGTTGTGCATTTGTAAAATTGTTGTCTCGGAGGTCGCTTTAAGTATGTGTTGGGGTCGTTGTCTAGCGTCAACGATGCGAGCAGTACCGATTAGGCATTCGAGAAAGTATAGCAGAAAATTGACATTCAAAAATATAAGCGAAAGGCAAGGACAATATAAAAAATATACTCGTATATGTTTATTAACATATTATAATATGCACGAGTATACCCGTATTATGGGTAAAGTACAAGCCATAGAGTGACGCCGTAGGCGTATACGCAACATTTTGTCGTAGGAATTCAAAATAGTAGCACCAATGCGACGAAGGTATTGTCTACTGTCTATCTTAAATGATGAAGAAAGCTACTATTTGCCAAAGAGCGGTACATTTTTGCTCAAAGTAAATTAAATTTCTATATTATTTTAAAGCAAACATAAAAAATGTAAAAGTTTTACAGTTACACTCTATATAAATAAAATCAAGACTTTGAAGAGCCTGATAGAATAAAATAAAAGTTAGAAAAGGAGAATTTGGATTTCTTGCGTTCTTCATCACATTCTAAACAAAAAAATTTATTTTATAATGAAATTTTATCGCTTTAGAAATTTTAGATTGAAATCAAAGCCATAAAGACAGTGAAATTAAAGCATATATTATAAAAAATTAAATACATTTTAATAAATTAATTTAATGATTTTTTAACATGAATGCCAATAATGCATTGATTGAAAACAAGTGAATATCTCGAAAAATTTTGTTCTTAGGAGACTTTTCGATTCGATTTGAGTGCACAGATTAGTGTCTGTCAGCTGTTTGCCAGTTAGACTTAACGTGAAAAAATTTTAATTTAGCCCTGACTATTTTTATTTTATTTTTAGAAATGGAAAAATTTGAGAAATAAGCTTGCTGTTTCCGGTGAATAAAACTGTTTCTTATCGGCAATTACTCATTTGGCGTTGCCTTCTACATTAACACGGAGAAACTTTGTTTGATCATTCCATGTCATTTTATTTTCGAAATTTACTAACTCGCCTTCCCTTTTATTATATTAATTTAGCCATTATGTGTATGCAGCCATAAACATATATTAATATACATATTTAAATTTACATATAAAAATTTAAATTTAAATTTTAAATTCCATAAATTAAAACTAGATATTTTTAGACAGTTAAGGCACTAACTGGAATATGAAGAATTGTAACATAGAAAAAATTCGGCATTATTTTTTGAAATAAAAAATAATTTAGATGTATGGAGTTTCTGTTCTAGTACGTATGTTTCTTTTTTAATAAAAAAAAAACTAATGAAAAAATTTAATTGTTGACTTTAAGCTTTTAGCTTTGGCCGATTCAGCTGGTTCGCTGGAAAAATTCTGACAACACTGGCTTAGACCTGAGTCAGAACCTTTTCACGACGTAAGTTATAGCAATAACCGAATGATTAACAACGGTCGACATTCGGGAAAAAACGCCAACCTCTCCGAGTATATTTCTGGCCTCATAAAACTCCATCTGCCGTTCAGGAGCGGCTTAGAATAAACTGTACGTTCTCCATTTGTATAAAGAACATTAAGACTCACACAAATTGGAGGAGAAGCCAGACCTGTTCATGCTTTCTTAATTATACACGAAATGGTATATTAACTTTAGTCGGAAGCAAATGGGAAAGAAAAGAGATAGCCCCATTCAAACATATACCGCATCATAATGATTTGCTGAGTTTATATAGCCATGTCCGTTTGTTCCCATGTCGAAATCAGAAGACCATAACATATAGCCTCCACCGCATCGATTTTAGAACACTAAAGGCGTTGGTTGAAACTACGTAAAAAATGCATCTAAAAGTACGAGGTTTGATCTTGGTATTAGACATTCTTACCTATAAATGAATGTTGTCACCGAAAAACATCGAATTCGGTCGACTATATTTTATTCTACAACGAAATATTATATAATTATACTAGAAGACCCGGCCACACATTGTTTTGGCTTTCTGGATGTTATCAAACGACAAAAAGCACTTATTAAGTATCAACTAATACTAAGTTTTGAGTCTTTGTTGTATTCTATTATCGATCTGCCTACGTATTTTTGCTCGTCGCTTATTATCTACTTAAAGCCTTTGAGGTAACTGCTGATTAAAAACATACGCACGAGCTAATCTTGCACCCAAATAATAATTTTTGTCAATCTGTCGGAGATCCCTTCCCTGGTCCTTGTATACCTTGCCTTGAATTTTGAATGTTGCCT